CTCCATGTCTCTCTCTCTCTCTCTCTCTCTCTCTCTCTCTCTCTCTCTCTCTCTCTCTCGGGTCTTTTATTCTTTAACTCCATGTCTCTCTCTCTTCTCTCTCTCTCTCTCTCTCTCGGTCTTTTATTTCTTTAACTCCATGTCTCTCTCTCTCTCTCTCTCTCTCTCTCTCTCGGGTTTTTTATTTCTTTAACTCCATGTCTCTCTCTCTCTCTCTCTCTCTCTCGGGTCTTTTATTTCTTTAACTCCATGTCTCTCCTCTCTCTCTCTCGCGGTCTTTTATTTCTTTAACTCCATGTCTCTCTCTCTCTCTCTCTCTCTCTCGGGTCTTTTATTTCTTTAACTCCATGTCTCTCTCTCTCTCTCTCTCTCTCTCTCTCTCTCTCTCTCTCTCTCTCTCTCTCGGGTTTTTTATTTCTTTAACTCCATGTCTCTCTCTCTCGGGTCTTTTATTTCTTTAACTCCATGTCTCTCTCTCTCTCTCTCTCGGGTCTTTTATTTCTTTAACTCCATGTCTCTCTCTCTCTCTCTCGCTCTCTCTCTCTCTCTCTCGGGTTTTTATTTCTTTAACTCATCTCTCTCTCTCTCTCTCTCTCTCTCTCTCTCTCTCTCGGGTTCCTTTTATTTCTTTAACTCCATGTCTCTCTCTCTCTCTCTCTCGTCTCTCTTCTCTCTCTCTCTCTCTCTCTCTCTCTCTCTCTCTCTCGGGTTTTTTATTTCTTTAACTCCATGTCTCTCTCTCTCGGGTCTTTATTCTTAACTCCATGTCTCTCTCTCTCTCTCTCTCTCTCGGGTCTTTTATTTCTTTAACTCCATGTCTCGCTCTCTCTCTCTCTCTCTCTCTCTCTCTCGGGTTTTTTATTTCTTAACTCCATGTCTCTCTCTCTCGGTCTTTTATTTCTTTAACTCCATGTCTCTCTCTCCTCTCTTCTCTCTCTCTCTCGGTCTTTTATTTCTTTAACTCCATGTCTCTCTCTCTCTCTCTCTCGGGTCTTTTATTTCTTTAACTCCATGTCTCCTCTCTCTCTCTCTCTCTCTCTCTCGGGTCTTTATTTCTTACTCCATGTCTCTCTCTCTCCTCGTCTCTCTCTCTCTCTCTCTCTCTCTCTCTCTCTCTCGGGTTTTATTTCTTTAACTCCATGTCTCTCTCTCTCGGTCTTTTATTTCTTTAACTCCATGTCTCTCTCTCTCTCTCTCTCGCGGTCTTTTATTTCTTTAACTCCATGTCTCTCTCTCTCTCTCTCTCGTCTCTCTCTCTCTCCTCTCGGGTTTTTTATTTCTTTAACTCCATCTCTCTCTCTCTCTCTCTCTCTCTCTCTCTCTCTCTCGGGTTTTTTATTTCTTTAACTCCATGTCTCTCTCTCTCTCTCTCTCTCTCTCTCTCTCTCTCTCTCTCTCTCTCGGGTCTTTTATTTCTTTAACTCCATGTCTCTCTCTCTCTCTCTCTCTCTCTCTCTCTCGGGTCTTTTATTTCTTTAACTCCATGTCTCTCTCTCTCTCTCTCTCTCTCTCTCTCTCTCTCTCGGTTTTTATTTCTTTAACTCCATGTCTCTCTCTCTCTCTCTCGCTCTCTCTCTCTCTCGGGTTTTTTATTTCTTTAACTCCATCTCTCTCTCTCTCTCTCTCTCTCTCTCTCTCTCTCTCTCTCTCTCTCTCTCTCTCTCGGGTCTTTTATTTCTTTAACTCCATGTCTCTCTCTCTCTCTCTCTCTCTCTCTCTCTCTCTCTCTCGGGTTTTTTATTTCTTTAACTCCATGTCTCTCTCTCTCTCTCTCTCTCTCTCTCTCTCTCTCTCGGGTTTTTATTTCTTTAACTCCATGTCTCTCTCTCTCTCTCTCTCGGGTCTTTTATTTCTTTAACTCCATGTCTCTCTCTCTCTCTCTCTCTCTCTCTCTCTCTCTCGGGTTTTTTATTCTTTAACTCCATGTCTCTCTCTCTCTCTCTCTCTCTCTCTCTCTCTCTCTCGGGTTTTTTATTTCTTTAACTCCATGTCTCTCTCTCTCTCTCTCTCTCTCTCTCTCTCGGGTCTTTTTATTTCTTTAACTCCATGTCTCTCTCTCTCTCTCTCTCTCTCTCTCGGGTTTTTTATTTCTTTAACTCCATGTCTCTCTCTCTCTCTCTCTCTCTCTCTCTCTCTCTCTCTCTCGGGTTTTTTATTTCTTTAACTCCATGTCTCTCTCTCTCTCTCTCTCTCTCTCTCTCTCGGGTTTTTTATTTCTTTAACTCCATGTCTCTCTCTCTCTCTCTCTCTCTCTCTCTCTCTCTCTCGGGTTTTTTATTTCTTTAACTCCATGTCTCTCTCTCTCTCTCTCTCTCTCTCTCTCTCTCTCTCTCTCTCTCTCTCTCTCTCTCTCGGGTCTTTTATTCTTTAACTCCATGTCTCTCTCTCTCTCTCTCTCTCTCTCTCTCGGGTTTTTTATTTCTTTAACTCCATGTCTCTCTCTCTCTCTCTCTCTCTCTCTCTCTCTCTCTCTCGGGTTTTTTATTTCTTTAACTCCATGTCTCTCTCTCTCTCTCTCTCTCTCTCTCTCTCTCTCGGGTCTTTTATTTCTTTAACTCCATGTCTCTCTCTCTCTCTCTCTCTCTCTCTCTCGGGTTTTTTATTTCTTTAACTCCATGTCTCTCTCTCTCTCTCTCTCTCTCTCTCTCTCTCTCTCTCTCGGGTTTTTTATTTCTTTAACTCCATGTCTCTCTCTCTCTCTCTCTCTCTCTCTCTCTCGGGTCTTTTATTTCTTTAACTCCATGTCTCTCTCTCTCTCTCTCTCTCTCTCTCTCTCTCTCTCTCTCTCTCTCTCTCTCTCTCTCTCTCTCTCTGGTTTTTTATTTCTTTAACTCCATGTCTCTCTCTCTCTCTCTCTCTCTCTCTCTGGTCTTTTATTTCTTTAACTCCATCTCTCTCTCTCTCTCACACACACACACACACACACACACTCACACACACACCTTAATCAACATTGTTTTGTTTAACTTTGTGTGGCAAAATGCCAAGAACGTTAAGAAAAAAATCAGTTTAATCAAATTAAAATAAAAAAATATACATAAAGTTGTGTCTGGTTCTAGCATTTCATATTTCCTAGTTCCTACTGCATGAGTTCAGATGTATTAATCCATGCACTTAAATATTAATGTTCTGATTTTACTGAAACACTTGTTCTGTAATCATTTACTATTGTGATCAAAAATATTTAATCTCTGTTCTCAGGCTGATCTGTAAATAGTTTTCAAATAAACAATACACACATCAACTTCTGATCATTCCTTATCAATTTCAGACTTAAAATAATATATTGATGTAAACCACGCCCACTTCCGGGTTATGCCACGCCCATTCCGAGTACAGATACAGATAGTGGTGTACTCGCTCATCCCTAGTATGCTAGTTATTAAAACCGTGGCGTCACAGACTCTCCTCCAGTCTTCACACCGCAGCTACAATCCAGCAAACGCAGCCTGCTGTTCCTGGTGTGACGGTGTTTTTGCTCTGATGTCACAGGACAGTCCGCTGCCACGCACCACCACCGCCCACCCCGGCGGAGCGCGATGCACAGCTGCAGCTGCAGAGGTCAGAGAGAAAAGATGAGCGTTTGGAGGGGACATCTGAGAGGTGACTGCATTTTCCCGTGAAGCCAAGCTAGCGGTGTGTGTGTGTGTGTGTGTGTGTGTGTGTGTGTGTGTGTGTGTGTGTGTGTGTGTGTGTGTGTGTGTTTTACGACTGGTTGCTTTTGCAGGAGTTGGCAGGCAGAGTCGGTGGACAGCGGCTGCAGCAACAGCACAGCGTTTACGACTCCTTCCTCAGAGGGCTTTTACGCTGAAAGCATCTGCCCAACCACTGGAGGGCGCTGTGATCAGACACCCAGCAAATTCTCTACAATAAAGGTAAAGTAGGCAGCAGCTGTAGAGTACTAGTAGAGTAAGAAATGGACATTTAGGGGTCCATTTTGTCCTTATCCCAGGTGGAGAAAGCTACGATGACAGAGGGTCCATTCCCAGAGCCGGTGAGAGTCCGGCATAAGGAGAGGGGGGGTCGCTGGGGCCACGCCTCGCCGTTCTTGCGCGGCAGCACTATCGTTCGCTCTCAGACCTTCTCACCTGGTGCGAGGAATCAGTATGTCTGCAGGGTGAGTTGTTTTATTCACAATGATGGTTGATGTTTGTAGCTGACCGGCTAACCTCCTGTTCCTTATGCTCAGTTATATCGCAGCGACAGTGACAGCTCAACTTTACCAAAGAAGTCACCTTTTGTTAGAAACACGTTGGAAAGAAGAACGCTGCGATATAAGCAGGTAAATCCTCGTGATTTGTTTCCAGCTGCATGAGTGTTTTGTATTTGTTTCCCGTGAGCTCGTTTGTTTTTTGGGAGCAGCAGTCGTATCGCTCCTCCTTGGCTGAGCAGCCAACACGCACCTCCTTGGACCTGGAGCTGGATCTTCAGGCCTGCAGGACCCGTCAGAGACAGCTGATGGAGGAGCTGAATGCCCTGAGAGAGCTGAAGCTGCGACTGGAGGAGCCACAGTCCAGGGAGGCCGCCGAACTTCCCAACTGGGCCCTGAGGGACGAGCGCTTCCGCTGCCTGCTCAGAGAGGCTCAGAGACAGGTAGACGTGTCTGAAGAGCTCAGATCTGCTTTAGTCAGCCTCGCTGGGCAGCAGCAGCTGACCGTTGCACCTCTGCACAGGCCGGCCAGAGCAAGCAGGAGCAGCGTCAGGAGGAGGCCGCTGAGAGGAGGCTGAGGAAGGCTTCTAAAGAGGTTCTGCAGATGAGAGGGCAGAGCCAGAAGGAGCCTCTGCCTGTGCAGACGTTCAGGTTGGCAATATCATGTAATCGTGCTGCAGCCCCCCCCCCCCCCCCCACTGGGGGTTCTGGTCACTACCGTTGTACCTCAAACATCTGCACAGGGGTTTATTTAGGTAACTGTGTCTGACTTCTATCTGGGTTTGTCTGTTTTACTGGATGGAAAACGTTTGACTACAACAGGTCTGGAGGTGAAACCGCGTTTGTTGTTTCTTTTCTTTTGTTGCTGAAAAAGGAACCAAAGAAAGGATCTATGGATTACTGGTGTAGCCGCGTAGCGTCACGCTGCTTTTCCGAGGACACTCATGGTGCTTACACACCGGTGTCGGTCCGGTCCCTTCCAGGACTTTGGCTTCACAACAAGTCAGATTTGCATTTTCGGTTCCGAAGCAACTCTTTTTTCAGACCTTCTTCCCAGCGGTCAGACTAGGACCGAGGTGACACTACGGACTGATTGGTCAGCTGAGATTACGCCTCTGGAACAGCACACCGCCCCTTAGAGACCGAACTCCCGCCATGCAGCCCCTCCAAGCCCCAGCTGTGCCCAGGCTAGTGTGTAAGCACCACTGGAGCGGTTGGATTAGTGCAGCTCAGCCCAATCTTTAGTCTGTGCTTTGTTGAGGTTCCAAGTGCACCAAGTCGGGTCAGCATCGCTACTGTGGCTGCTGATTGGCTAGGGGGCGGAGTCACTGGTTGCTCTGGAGTTTTCCGCCTGGTTCAGATTCTGGCAAAAAGCCATAAAAGTGAGCAGAAAGTCCAGCGCCACCGTCTGTGTGCTGATCCGTGTCTCTGTGTGATGTACCGTCACCGCGCGCCGTGTACTGGTCCTCTCATGCTGCTTTTGCTTAAAGGAAGATCCCCCCCCCCTTGTTTTTACATTAAACAAGGTGCTTGCAATCTTTCGATCTGGGTTTAAACGCTTCCCTCCCGCTGAGTCATCACTGCTGAGCAGGTTTAATGACATCCTGTTTGCCAGATGTGGGAGCCACGTTCATCTAGTCCTTCTGGATTTTACTGCACATGTTGGTACAACCGATCATGGCATGACCCGCACCTGTCAGAGTCCGAGGACTCCAACTCGCTTTACACTACAGTGCATCATTCATCCATTCATCCATTCACACACTTGTGGTGATGAGCTACAGCGTAGCCGCAGCTGTCCTGGGGTACACTGACAGAGGCGAGGCTGCCGAGTACAGGCACCTAAGTGTCTTGCCCAAGGACACAACAGAATTCTGTACGGAGCCGGGATCGAACCTGCCACCTTCCGATTCCTAGACAACCCGCTCATTCTCCTGAGCTACTGCTGCCACCTGGTGGCCTGGTTGGAGCACGGCGTAGGTGTTAGTGGCATAGGGATGTTCATATGTTGCTTTTGTTACAGCTAGGCTGGATTAGTGTCATTGGTTCTGTTTTGGAGTCCGGAAATCCTCCCGCCAAACCTTCAGCTTGTGCTGCTCAGCTGAGGAACGCAGGACTGAGCATATCACTCCTGTTCTGTGCTAGCTGCACCGGTTGCCTGCAGAGGTGGAAAGTTACGAAGTACATTTACTCACGTTACTGTAATTGAGTAGCTTTTTTGTATATTTATACTTTTTAAGTTGTTTTTAAAATCTGTACTTTTACTTTTACTTGAGTAAGTTTTTAAAAAAGAATTGTAACTCGCTACATTTTAAATCATCCGTTACTGAGTAAAATAAATTATAGGCTTAATGAATTACAAATATTACATGTAGCAGCGTCGGAACAGAACGGAGACACCTGCATGAGCGCCGCGTCTAAACCGCGTGTGTGTGTGTGTGTGTGTGTGTGTGTGTGTGTTACACATATAGGACTGCATGAGACAGCATGGTTTCATCAAATCCATGCATCTTATGGGCCATTCCCATCGGTACCGGGTCGGCCCGGGCCGGGTAGCATAGGTTGTTTACATATCTGGGTGGCCTGGTATTGTTCCGGGCCAACCAAGGCTCATTCTCAGCCCTCTTCTGGAGGGGGTCTGCTTCAGGCCGACCAGGGCCAACACACCCACTGCTGACAGCAAATTCACACCTTCCATTAGAGCAAGCCTCTGATTGGTGGGTAGAATCAGCCCACATGGGCTTAAGGCAAGGATGTGTGGAATCAACCGGGCCAGGCTGGGGCTGACTGGGCTACCCGGCCCGGGCCGACCCGGTACAGATGGGAATGGCCCAATATATCTTGGCTGAAGTAACGGCTCAGGAAAATAACATATTTCATAAATAATGACGTCTCTGCAGTGTCTATGATAATGTTTTATCTTATCTTTGGTTTGGGACGTGTAACTTATCATGATACAAGCCTTTTAAAACATGTTAAAGTTTTACAAGAGGAGATGAATGCATGAATTTAAAGTTCATGTTTGGAGACCAACCTTCACAGTTTGGAGGCTCACGCTGGTGAGGAGACACCGTTAGTTCTAGTAACACCTGGGCTCCCAAGGCCTGTTCTGACAGGATGGACGTTACGGGACCCTTAAGGATTCCAGTTGGATGGTTGGAGGATTATTTAGGAGGACTGGAATGAACAAACTGGTTTCAGTGGTGAAGGGTTAAAGGAGTGCAGACCTGCCAACCTTGTCAAAAATGTTTGAGCACCACTTGTGCAGCGTTTTTTCATGGACTTTTGCAACTCCATTGCTTTTCACGCTGTAATCTCCCCCCATTCACTGGATGAACAATTACACACACACACACACACACACACACAGTTTACCTTACCAGAACAGCAGCAAGTGGCGAACCGGAGGGAGAGAGGAGCAGCGGGCAGGACGAAGCAGGGAGGAGGGGGGCGGGGGTGTTGCGCTGTAGGTTAGGCAGAATAGTTTTTCGCTGCTTTTCTACGATGATCGGCTTAAACTTCTTCACCACGCCACTGAGTCGTGTTGTCACACATGAGTACCACACGTGCACATTTGCCACAGAACTCAACTCAACGTATCCGCAGCTTTTTGCGTAGTTGACAGAGGTGAGTGGTACCGGCGTAAATAGATGCCAAATTGCGTCGTGGCTACGCAAAATGCGTACAGGTTGGCAGGTCTGTGAGTGAGTGAACCCACGACCAAGGATGAACTCTAACTTTAAAAATCAGCTGCTCTAAATAAGCATGAAGGTCAGAGAGGAGCTCTAGGATGGACACGGATACAGGAACTGTAATGTAGAGGTAAAGTAGGGCGGGGCCAACGTTAGCAGCTGTCATACGCTCCATCTGACATGTTACACTTTCATTTAGCTCGTCGTGTGGCAGGTTAGAGTTTTGTCATGAGAACACTGAGATACCTCACATGCTGATGTATCTAAAAGTTAACTTTTTATTTTCAAAATAAAGATTAATTTTAATCACAGCTGAAATGTACAAGCCTAGAAAAACCTCGTCCAATCGGTGTGCACTTCCTGTTCTCACTGATTGGATAGAAATCCTTCCATCAAACTGTGTGTGTGTGTGTGTTGCGCGCACACACACACACACACACACACACACACACACACACACACACACACACACACACACACACACACATCTTTACGCTGACAAAAATGTAACTAAGTAACTTTTACTTTGAGTACATTTTATTTACAGTACTTTTTACTTTTACTTGAGTAAAAATGTAGGCAAGTACTTGAGTAGGACACATTAGTACTCTTTCCTCCTGTCTGCAGACTCTGATGTTGACACCGGTGTTCTGGTCTGTCTGGGTTCATGTGTACAAAAGCGTTCTGTAGTCTGAACTCTAACGGTGGTGTGATGACCTGTTGGGTTCCTCTGCAGAGAGAAGATGGCCTTCTTCACCAGACCAAGGTTTAACATCCCTCCTTTGCCAGCAGACGACGTATGAGGACCCCCCTCTGTGCTGCATGAAGTATTTGTCACCTTTTCTGAGCTCATGAAGTTTTTTCTACTAGAGGCGCGGCGTGTGCTCTGCAGATGAAGATCTAAATGTTTGACACTTTCAGAAGCATTCGTGTGGCTTTTAGAAACTAGACCCGGTTACTGACAACAGCCCCGCTCTACAATGTGGTGTTTTTATGGGGGGGGGGGGGGGTTACTCGGGTTTGTGCTACAGAAGGCTGGAAGGCGGGAACAAGTCGGTTTGGACAGATTCACTGTACTGTAACTTATTTTATAGTACTTTTCCTTGAAGGAAATCAAATGTTTCCAGCTTCTTAAATGTATTTTGAACAAATAGCACTTGGATGTTTTTACTTACAGCTAAATGAAACTATTGTTGGCTGTTTTTTCTGTTACTTAACTCGAGTTATTTACGTGAACTGTTATTGTGTAATCCACTTTTATTACAGATGTCAATGTTATTTTGTTCTTATTAAAATTAATATTATTTCATATCCCTTTCAATATATGAACAAATATATGAAACACTGTATTCAGGGTTTTCTTGTGCTTGTATGAACATTTGCAGTTACTTCCTGTCAAGATAAAAGTAAATGAATCTGCATGTGGACTGGCCGCTGCTGCTTATCAGTCGTGTTTCAGGTGCGGGACGATAAACCGGAGCTGGAATCAACAACGCCTGTTCTGTGCACGCAAACACTTTCTCCAAATGTGTCACATGCACTTTGTCTCCAACCACAAGCAGCTTCTGCTGACCCCGTTTGAGTGTCAGTTTGTCGATTCTTGAGAAGACCTACCACGCACCAAGACAGGCAGCTGTGTCAGCTACTTATCTCCAGATGATTTCCTGTTTCAGCACAAGTTCCCAGAAGCTCGGGAGAGGCACGGTGCTGATCTTCTGAGAGAAGCAGCTCGACTGGATTTCTGCTAAACGGCAAAGAACCCGCCGTTTGTTCTCGGGCCGCGCTGTTTGAGAAGAAGAAGTGCCGACTTCCCTACAGGCAAACAAACCGGTCTCTTGTCTGTGGTTACTGGTGACATTAGGAGCTGGCTCGTGTGTTTCACACCGATCAGAACAAACGTAAACCAAGTTCAGTGTACGTAAAAATATCTCCAGCACATCCAGCACGGTCAGGGTTCATATAAACGGTGTTTTTATCCAGTATAGAAACAAAATTACTAGATTTTTCTTTGGAGATTGGCCCTCTTAAAGGTGTGGAACAACCCATTTTTATTATGTCTGATTATAATCGGTCACGGAGTTCGTCATGCAGGCTGAACATGAAAATAGTCTCCTACACCTATCTTTAGCTTCTGATAGAAAATAGATGTGAAACGTAAGATTAGAAAAGCCTGACAGATCTACGTCACACTGTCACTTTAGATGAGTCAACCATGAACTAGTAGACAGTGTTAGCATTAGCAACTTCACCACACAGCAGAACTCCTCCAGGCGTGTTATTGTGGAGATAAAACATCCACATTGTAAGTCAGTGGTAGAGTCGTGTTGCTGTTGCCTAATCCGAAGAGATCTGTCCAGATATCAGGAATTACGACTGCGACACCTGCTGCTGGAAGCTCAGCTGTGATGTGGGTAACTGGTAGTTACTGGAAATTCTGCACTGGTATATCTTCCCCACTGCAAACGTACCACACCTTTAACACTGTAGGTTGTAAGGAAGCACAAGGATGCTAAAACAAAGTTCACACGTCTACTTGCTAATAAAACCGTGTGTGTGTGTGTGTGTGTGTGTGTGTGTGTGTGTGTGTGTGTGTGTGTGTGTGTTTGTGTGTTAGCTAAATCTATCCTCGACTACTAGATGTTTAAGGATGCGCTGATATGAAGATTTGAGCTGATGGATACCCACATTTACTGACATGTTTACATAGTTCCCTACATTTGACTACTCACTTAGCTTCTCTGCTTCAGTTAAACATCCCACAATGATGTGCTGCTTCACTATCACCATGACGCGGCCTAAGACGTTCCACGTGGTCAGCCACCGTCCCCCATTCTCCTGAAAGACAGCATCAAGATAAAATCGGCCAAATGTCTTAATCGGACTATTTGCCAATAATTGTGTTGATGCTGATCTATCGGGCATCTCTAATCTCTGATCAGGTCCGTCAGTCCAGTTCAACTCAGTCAAGTTCAAAGTGTCATTACCACATGTACAGTGTCACAAGACCACACGCGTGTATCACCATGCAGTCGTTTTCCTAGAGTGACCAAAGCTAAAATAACATCTGATCCCGGTTTAAAACTCCTTCATGAAAGGTGAGATTCCTCCAGAACATTTGTGCTTTTATTCAGTATAAAAAAGAAAAACACGTTGCATAAATTAAGTGAACCAATGCAAATATAAACTTGGATTCTCTTTAAAAGCTGTTCCGTATAAACCAAACACGTCAACTTAAAACACGATAGCACTGAGAGGAGATCTAAACTCATCAAAGTCCCAGTAGATTATGAAACATCTCAGGTATGACGATGTGTTGAAGAACAACATTTTCTAAACCATTTTCAGATGTAAAAGCACCAGTAAACATAGGAAGGGCTGGACATGAAGCAAGGAGATAAAAGAAAAGCTACACGTCCCTTTGTGACACGTTGGTTCTCCGTGTCCACGTGTCACGTTGGTTCTCCGTGTCCACGTGTCACGTTGGTTCTCCGTGTCCACGTGTCACGTTGGTTCTCCGTGTCCACGTGTCACATAACGAGTTGGAAGGAAAACATGCGACGGGCTTTAAGGTGTGAACACATTCCTCTGTCCACCTCCGCTCTGCAGGACGCCCCCTTCAGACATCAGTCCCGGCTGTCCTCAGGTCAGTTTGCTTCTATATGGGGACGGAAACGATGGTTGGAAGATCTCCAATAGGAGGTGGATGATACTTCTCCACCCTCATCAGACGTCGTAGAATATCATCTCGATCGCGCGGCCAAGCAAAGATGTGAGTGTTTTGAAGCCAGTTAGGAACGTGACACTGAAGAGAAACAGCATTTAGATGATCACTGCTGAGGTCGGGAGGTTGACCTCGCTTCACGGGAACGAGATGAAAACACTTCACAGAGCTCACTTTAAAACAACACTCACTTTTTTAGCCCCAGGAAACAAAACGGGAATGAACCGGAAATTCTTGCTTCCATTCTGGATGAATTCGTTCTGAAGCTGCGAGACGCAAACAAACCAACACTGAAGCGTCGCTATAGACGATCAGACTTGTAGAGACTGGGTAAAGACGCTGACCTGTTTGTGTATGTAGACCGTGTTGAAGGTCCTCTCGTCATTCTCCAGGTCAAACGGGGGGGCCGTCACCGTCTCAAAGTACTTGGGACTGATGATGATGATGATCAGATATTCTTTCTGGAAGCAAACAGCTTTAGCTGCTTAACGTACTCTCAGGACAAGTTCCCTCTTGCACCAGGTCCCATAGCTCAGGGCCAAGTTCAGCGTCGGTTTACTAACTGATCTTACCTCGCTGAGATACCGCTCCATGAAGTCAATCTTGCTTATACTCCTGAACTGCTGCTCAAAAATGTCAATCTGAAACAAAAGTCGAGACAATTAAACCTAAAGCCGACACGGAGCTACAGCGGCCTACGCAGGACGAGTGGGAACTGGTAACACCGTCTTAAATGTGTGGATATACCCAAAAACAAGTCTGTTGATTAGATCGGCTAATCTGGAACTCAAACACCTGATTTTCTGTTTGGTTTTGGTCCATGACGGTGCCACTGCAACGCTGAAAAAAAAATCCTAAATGTTTAAAGTCCATGAACTCCACACAGCCTAGAAATGCTAGAAATAACAGCTTCCATGCAATTGGTTTTCACTTCCAGACATAATTTAAGTTCCCATCATCAAGGTACCAGTTTATGTAGAGTCTCCGTCTGCAGGTCAGAGATCGGTACCGGCCATCAAAACCAGAACTAGAGACAGTTACGTCGTCCGTCACATTAAAACAATCCTGTTATATGAACATGTTTACAAGCGTATTAAACAGCGGTTACGCAATATCAATGCAACCAAGGCTGAACAGCACATCCCAGAACAACCACCGGAGTCAAACCCGCAACTCCTGCTGTAAGCACAGCTACGACCAGCCTTCTGTAAAGATTTTTATACGTAATCAAATAATCTGTTTTGACAAAATATCTTAATGATGAGAATGAAAACAGAGTTCAGAATAAAATATCGTTATGCTGCTTTTAGATCAAATTTCACTTTATTCCAACATAATCTTCATTTCCAAGTTACACTGAAAAAAGTTTTTAGTATTTTCTCATAAAATATTCGACACTAAATGTTAAAATGGCATGCGTGTTACCGCTCAGCTGTTTTTAGAGCTACGGTTCTCTGCAGGGCGGCAGAGTCTGATTTATAAACGAACAACCGAACTGTACGTACGTGAGTATCAAAGCCGTTGTGTCGCAGCAGAGCCACAAAGTTGATGATCTCATTGACGTGCTTGTCATTGTCTGCTTCGTACGTGACAAAGACCCTCCCTAAAATAAAAAAGCAAAGGTGTTTAAAGACTTGACGAGCGTGCGGCTGCCCGTGCTGCTGACGCGGCGCTTACTCTGCTCCAGAGAAAGTGGCGTGCTGTAAGCCGGGCGTCTCTCTTTGACCGGGATGTTGGGGCCGCTGTGAGAAGAGAAAAAGGGCTTTAGATAAAAACGCTCAACGTGAGGCGTAGACATCATACAACTACTGCAAGTCAGAGTAAATATTATGGTAAAGGAAACTCACAGTTGTGTGAATCCTGCTCCAGGAAGTCTGTAGTCTCCTGGATCTGAAAACATAAGACACGTAAAAACGTCCCTCCAGACTCTGGGACTTAATGACTGATTAGAAAACAGACCAGCAGACTTACAGTACTGGCTGCACGGAGGCCATGCGTGTCTGTCAACTATAGGCCTCCTACTGAAGGCTTCAGCAGGACACTGGGCACAACATGCAGGTCCTGCTGGCGGACCGGAGTACGGAGACAGCGTATGGTGGTACAGCTCTGCCGACGGAGGGTTGGAGTGCAGAGACAGTGGCTGCTCCAAGCTGAAGGTGTTACTGCAGCGCTGACCAGGGAGGGAGAGCGACTTGCATCTGTCCTCACAACAGTTAGGGTAATGTTTCTGGCTTAGACAGGACGGCAGGCTGTTGGGATAACCCGACCAGCTGCTGTTAAGGCTCGAGTGGAGCCAGCTGACCTGGCTCGGGAACGGAGTCGGCTGGGTGAATCCGGCTGGCAGGCTGTGAGGGGGTTGGGATGAGCCGAAGCTAGAGATGTTTGGGTGGCGCAAGTCTTCCTGCCTGCTGCTCCACCTCTGTCTGCTAAACACGGAGCCGTGGTCTAAGAGTCGTGGGTGGCCATGGAGGTTAGTGGTGGCGTCCACCATGTGGCTGGCTTCTCGCTTCTCTGAGCTCATAGTCTCATCGTCCTCTTCAGGGGTGTTGTGGCGGGAGCTCAGCAGGCTGATGCAACGGTGCACGGGCAACATATTAACCGGAACAATCAGTGGTCTGAAACGGGTGGAAATTCTGCTTCACATCTGCAGCGCCCGCTTACAAGAAACGAGCTCCGCTTTTATCAAAAAGGCAGATCTACTGCGAATGGATTCGCTAACTTCCTGACTAGAGAAAAAAACTGAAAACAGACTCAAATTATGCTGAATTCAGCTCTGTGCTACATTTTGAGACAGCGGCGTGTTTGCTGTCACGCTCACCTATTTGGAGCAGAACGCGAGCAGACGGGGGCGGGCAGCATCACTGGGAGTTTTCCTCCTAACATCCATGTGTTTCTCCTTTAAACTTCACCTAAACTCCTGCTGGGGTAAAAAAAAATCTGGTGAGGCTTTAAAGGGGAAATGAGGCAAAACTCACCTTTTGTGCACCCATGTGGGTTTCAAACATGAAACCCCATCTATCTGTCATCAGTCAGTGTTTGGTTTTAGAAATCATGTGACTAAACAAGCGGTTTCTAAAAGTTCCCCTTTGTCACAAATGAGGAAACAAGAATAGAACCACCTCTCGTGCAAGAGGGAGCTGCTGCTGCAGAAGCTCTACTCCAAGCCCCTGGCAAACATTGGAGCTTCTCAGCTTATAGCAACCTGAGCAGGGGGCGAGTGGGCGTGGCCAGAGTGACGGAGCCCTAGCTCTGTCCTAGCTCGTAACAGAAACTGTCAAGTATTAAACTGCTGAAACCACTTCATGTGAGAGGGATTTTGTTTCAATCATAGAAATATAAAAAAGTCATAAAATGTCCTTTAAAAGCAAACCGACTCCCGACTCGTTATGCTTGAGCAGCCTAACCGTCTTTGATCTACATGAAAACATAAAAGCCAAAGTTCCTTCCACACCGGGACTTTTCTCTGTTGAGTCATGAGGAAGTGCTCACTGACGCGGTCAGTTTAAAAAATAAATGTTATTACATTAATCTGTTCGTTACCTAAAGCACCAGTTACTTCCGGTTCCCACTGGCTACTCAGGTTCCATGATGATCACAGATCATTTCCCAGCATGCAGCAGCAGAAAGTCATTCGGGGCCGCCTCAGTGTCCCAGTCCATGTTAAACCTCTGTGGTCGCTCACAAGCAAACCTGCTTCAACTTTCCACTGAAACCGACCCAGAAATGTTTCTCCATCAGCTTTTCCCTCCACTTATTTAAATTATGGACCTGCATCAAATCACCTAAACCGTTTCTGTCCTCGTTTCGGACATTCCTCTCGACCATAAAGCCTTAAACGTGTCAGAGGACGAAGGTAAACGTAGCTGTTTGTTTAAGTGTCGGCAGGTAAATCAGACGAGTCAGACCGGTTATTACAGGTAAGAGCAGCACACTCACCGCCGCTGGTCCGAGCCTCTTCCGGGTAACTCTGCTGACTAAACCCGACAAATGTCTCCCCTAAAACGTGACTTCCACCAATAAGTTGTGAGTGAGCTGAAAACTTTCGTTGCCAGGTGAAAAGTTCTGACGGCCGAAAGGCTGATGCGCAGCTGGGACTCGAACCGCCTCCCTCCGCCCCAAGTCTCCACCTTCCCCCTCTTCCGGTTGCCTCTCACTGTGGGGGAGATTATTTCCCTCTGGGGGTGAGATTATTTCCCTTCACAAAGGCAGCACAGTGTTTTCTGTTGATTTAACCTGTTTCGTAACAGGTCATGTGATTTGGTTTTCTTTAGTTCTTCGTGATGAGGATTTGGACGTTTTGACGTCACTGCCGTCAGGGTAACCGGTGGCCCTCATCACGCTGCGTACTGCGAAGAACTAAAGAACAGATACGAAGAGGTGTGACCAAGTCACAAGTCTTTCCAGTTATGTCTCGAGTCGAGTCCAAAGTCAATGATCTGGAAGTCCAAGTCAAGTCCAAGCCCTTAACTTTGTATTTTCAAGTCATAATCAAGTAATCTGTCCAACTTCAATCGATGATAAACAAATTCCAGAAATAAAGCTTCTTAACTTTTCATTCATTTGCTCAACAAGCAGGAAGTGCAACAGAAACTGATTATAAACAAGGTGCTGCTGCGTTTAGCCGTACAAGATCTAACCGAGAACAAAGATGATTTATGATTTTTGTCCATGTCGGGCCACTTTTGTGTTAAAATATCAAATCTGCTCAAGTCATCATCAAGTCAGCAGATGCAAGTCGATTCATGTCTCAAGTCATTGGTGTTCAAGTCTGAGTCAAGTCGTAAGTCTTTATAGATTTTATCAAGTCAAGTCAGATGTCATTAAAATAATGACTCGAGTCCAAGTCATGTGACTCGAGTCCACACCTCTGTTAAATTGATGCTTTAAAACACTTTGACTGCGTACAGATGGGTAGCTCTTGAAATACTACATGGCAGCACCAATAAACAGGATGTTCTTACTTTATTTCTGAACAACAGAAGAAGACAGAGATGGTTCATCCATCTTTGTTTAAAATAAAACAACATTAGCTCATTTTAGCGCTGCCATCTCTATAGATGATGTAGTGTGACACTAAACATCCATTCTTTTCTGTTGGTGTGTTTTTGGAGATGGCTCTGTGTTCCCAAGGTACAGTGAATGCAACATGAATTCAAATAAACGCGGGAACATTTGGATAAGAGAAGATCTGGTTTCTGTCAGGTTAACCCCAAACCCTGAAACCCAAGAACCTCCAAGAAAAGGACCAGAATCAGATGCTTTGTATCCTTTTGAGCTTTAAAGTTTCTGCTGGCCACCAGGAAGATGGACCTCTGTTTTATTATGACCTGGTCTATAAAGACCCGAGTATCAGGGACTCAGACGGGTCTGATCAGGCGCTCTTCTGAGTCATTTTGTTGGGTCTTGTGTAACGTGCACACTAATCTTTTGATGAAAGTCTAAGGTCACACCTAGAAAAGAGAATTTTTCCAAACATGCTGGCAAGATTCCCGAATCTAAATCACTGGTTTATTCAAGCATTTTCATAATTCCAGAAACCTAAAATGATCCTGCTTTCAGATGTTAAATTTCATGTTTTGACATGAACAAGAAAAAACTTTTAACAAATAATTCTTCATTAAGAACAACGAAGTGAACAAAAACATTTAAAAAATGCTTCCTGAAGTCAAAGCCTGCTCTAATTTCATAAGAAAACAAACAAATTAAACTACAAGTTGCATAAATACGAAACAACAACTTCTTACTGGAGGAAATAGGTGTGTGTCGGGGCAGGGAGTCGACACAGATTTAAACCTCCCTAAACACACCTCTCTGCATCAGGAGACCAGACAGCTCAGTAACTACTGTTTATCAGACATCCACCAGCAGCCACCACAGCAGAGCCAGGCGGTGCTTAAAAGGCTGTTTTTGGAGAGCAGCTCAAGCATCAACTATCCTCAGAGTCACACAGATCCTCCACAGAGCAACCGCAGTGCCATTATTCTGTGGTGTCACGGGTTTGATGGCAAAAAGGATTTCTGCATTTATGATTTCTGGGGAACCAACTTGATGTGACACCTGAAGCTCCGCAAGACATACATAAAGAGACATTCAAAAACATTTGTCAAATGTTTTTTTTTTGCGCAAGTTCGTAGTTTTATTTATTTATTTGTTTGTTTGTTTGTTTGTTTTCACAGTTTTCAAGAGAAAATCTGAAGAGGAAATGAATCATTTCAGTTATACTTCCGTGTGTAATTTATGGTCTCTCTTTAAATCTTGGACTATTCCACTAAATTTGAAATTGTGCTGCAACAATTCAGAAGCTGGGATTTAATTACCTGACTACGGTGAAAATGTTCAACAAATGTTGAGGGCAGATGCCATTGGGCACAAAGTGGGTGATCAATCTCTGCTCTGCCATAGAAAAGCCGCAATCTGACTTAGATACAGAACCGCGACTCTTACAGTGACTCAGCATTCACCAGGATGAACACTGATCACAAAATAAACCACGCAACTGCTTGTTTTCAATAACAGCAAAAACATTTGTCCTAACATATTAAGGATGGCATGTCTGCCAAGTGATTGCTTTTGTATGATGCAGAAATGTAAAGCACTCCAGCAGCATTGAACCATGATCATAAGAGGCTACAGCATCGCCATCTAGTACCAGCTTCATGTGCACACTGTCACACAGAACGGAGAAAAAATTACTCATGAACAATTACTTTACCATCTGAAGATTGCAAAGTCCAGGCCTGTAGGGTAGGTTTGACATAAGCACTTCTTTCTGCAGGCAGATCACATTTGATTCAGCAAATGTAAACTTTATAGCCACGTAACATTTTGAAATTAGTTTTCATGTGTTCAATATCTAAAGTTTTTTTGTTTTGTTTGTTTAATGATCAAAATGACGTGTAAATGTGGATATTCCAGAACTACCGGTAATGTGCTGCAGCCTGCAGGACACATTTACTGGTTATATATTTTAATTATGGATAGTTACACCATACATTAACAATAAAATTAAATTAGTCTGATTTAAAATACAACAAGGAATGAAGCCTGTAAAGTTTGTTCTGGAGAGATTCGTGATTTAGTTCACCTGACAGCTGTATCATCTACCCATTTCTACTGTTTGTTTACTTTGGGAAGTTTCTTGTACAAAAGACAAAATGATCAAACAGAAAACACAACCTCCAGATTTTCCAGCTGTTTTTAAATAATTTTACAACTCTGCTGTCAACATTGAAAAAAAAGACAAAACTGGCAAAGGAATGTTTTGAGAAAAAAAGCTGTAAATGCCTTTTTTCACTCAAATGTCCAACATAAGCTCGATGATGTCAAATAACTCCTAAATGTGGGAACATCTTGACTTATATCATCTTCGTCATGTAGACTCTGATAAGTTCATTTTTAATACCTCAAATTTCCTTTCATTTCATTTGAGAGATTTGTTTTACCTCGCAGTTTGACAATCAACACCACCGCCTTACCTCTTGGTGTCAGCATTGCATTTTCTAGCTTACACCCCGCTGCAATTTTATTAGTAGAAGAAGCGCTGACTGCCGTCAAACAAGCCCTCCGTTCGGAAACGACTGTCAAGCCAGCTCTCCTTCGATTTTTACGGGCGCAATTACAAGAGAAATTACGGTGTCCTCCTTCGAGTGTGTCTTTCAAAATAAAAGCGCACTTCTAGGATGTGTGTCTGAACGTGCTAATGAACAATTTTTCTGTATGTGTTAAAATTTTGTCTAAGAGAAAACTGCGTTTTTAATGATTTTATCTGTTAAAAAAATACTTTTAAGAAAAAGAATGAAAATGATTTAAATATAAATTTCTGTGACATTGTGAGCAAGAAAAAAAAACTACGTTGTTAATGATTTTGTCTATTTTAAAAATACTTTTAGTTAAAAGAATGAACATGATTTAAAGATCTGATGTGGTATTTCAAAATGAAGTGCAATCGAAGTAGTCAATAATGACAATTTTCACCATATTCAATGGTTAATTTCTCAAAAACATCTTTCCACATCAGTCCGGAAGTACACATCGAGTACTACATCCTTCCCGACTTTCATAAAGATCTGATGTGGCATAACCTTAACCCTAAACCTTTAAGTAATTAACCATTGAATATGATGAAAATTGTCACTAATGACAACTTTGATTGCACTTTATTTTGAAATGCCACATCAGATCTTTATGAAAGTCGGGGAAGATGTACCATACCATACCATACCATAGTTTATTTATATAGCATGTTTAAAACGCAGCATGGGAGCTGCCCAAAGTGCTGCACAGGCTAAAACAAAACGCGACCATTTTAAGAAACTAAAACAGAAGATAAAAATACCAGTCAAAAGCAGATAAAACATGATGGATGCTAAGAACACATTAAAACAATGACACGATAAAACACTAAAACGAGTCACTGTCTGAAAGCCAAATCGTAAAAGTGGGTCTTTAAACAAGATTTAAAAACCACCAGTGATGGAGCCTGCCAAACTCCAATGGGCAATGAGTTCCACAGCTTTGGGGCAGCATGCACAAATGCCACATCAGATCTTTATGAAAGTCGGTGAGGATGTAGTAGTCGATGTGTACTTCAGGTCTGATGTGGAGTTATGTTTCGCAATCAGACAGTTTTTGAGAAACTAGCCATTGAATATGGTGAAAATTGTCATTATTGACAAATTTGATTCCACTTTATTTTGAAATGCCATATCAGATCTTTATGAAAGTCGGTGAGGATGTAGTAGTCGATGTGTACTTCAGGTCTGATGTGGAGTTATGTTTCGCCCTCAGACAGTTTTTGAGAAACTAGCCATTGAATATGGTGAAAATTGTCATTATTGACAAATTTGATTCCACTTTATTTTGAAATGCCATATCAGATCTTTATGAAAGTCGGTGAGGATGTAGTAGTCGATGTGTACGTCAGGACTGATGTGGAATGATGTTTCGCAAATCAGACAGTTTTTGAGAAATTAACCATTGAATATGGTGAAAATTGTCATTATTGACAACTTTGATTGCACTTTATTTTGAAATGCCACATCAGATCTTTATGAAAGTCGGTGAGGATGTAGTAGTCGATGTGTACTTCAGGTCTGATGTGGAGTTATGTTTCGCCCTCAGACAGTTTTTGAGAAACTAGCCATTGAATATGGTGAAAATTGTCATTATTGACAAATTTGATTCCACTTTATTTTGAAATGCCATATCAGATCTTTATGAAAGTCGGTGAGGATGTAGTAGTCGATGTGTACGTCAGGACTGATGTGGAATGATGTTTCGCAAATCAGACAGTTTTTGAGAAACTAGCCATTGAATATGGTGAAAATTGTTATTATTGACAAATATGATTGCACTTTATTTTGAAATGCCACATCAGATCTTTATGAAAGTCGGTGAGGATGTAGTAGTCGATGTGTACTTCCGGTCTGATGTGGAATTATGTTTCGCAATTAGACAGTTTTTGTCACAGAAAATTTTATTTAAATCGTTTTCATTCTTTTTCTTCAAAGTATTGTTTAATAGATAAAATCATTAAAACGCAGTTTACTCTTAGACAAAATTTAACACATACAGAAAAAGTGGTCATTAGCACATTCAGTCACACATCGTAGAAGTGCGCTTTTATTTTGAAAGACACTCTCGGAAGGAGGACACCGTAATTTCTCTTGTAGTTGCGCCCGTAAAAATCGAAGGAGGGCTGGCTTGACCAACGGATTGACGGCAGTTCATGACGTAGCGGTTGTGGTTCTGGTAAGCTAATTCTTGCTAAGGTAGGTGGAGATCATGGCAGCTTCGAAGCCAGTGGAGCCCCAGTCTGCGACTGGACTACCCCGCTGGCAGCTGGCGCTGTTGGTGGGGACCCCCATCGTGCTAGGTGTTGGAGCAGTTTATTTGTGGAATCGAAGCAGGAGGAAGGGAATGAAAGGGACCGGTGAGCGGAAAACACCAGAAGGCAGCGCCAGTCCCGTGCAGGGCCAAGACGGAGCCAACAGGGAGGAGGAGAAGAACATGGTACTGTTACTGAAGCGTGGAGACACCTCTCGCTTTTATGGCTTAACTATTTTGATAAGAGCACAATTTACATTACTGATGGTTTAATTTCTTCTCTGCACGCATCACTGTCTTAAAACGCGGTCAAGGACACCTGACGTTACTGACGCTTTCAGTGGCTGATACCTTCACGACAGCGAGGCCGATAGCCACCGGTGTGGATTAACCTTTGCTAGTTAGCTCTCCGTCAGGCTAACTCTGCTAGCATGTGTGCTAGCCGACTCATATCAGACGTACGCAAAGCAAACACTTGTAACAGAACCCGTTTGGATACTAACCGTTAATCTGGGTGAAAGTATTTCGTCTAAATAAGCATAGCAGTGTTTTTATGTTCTAACAGGCTAACGCAGTCAAGATAAGGAGGAGTGGCTGTCATTTGAATGAGGCTGAGTAGTAGTTCAAATATATTATCAGCTTATTCACGCAACTGTCACGCATGAATAATTAATTTAGGTAATATTCCTGTAAAGGTTTTTACACTGGTGTTCTTTGTAAATAAACCCCCACATCACCCCGCTTCTCCTCCAGCTTCACTGGCTGCCAGTCAACTTCAGGGTTCATTTCAAGATCCTGGTTCTGGTCTATAGGGCCTTACATGGACAAGCACCATCTTACATTGGCGATCTTCTTAGTCCCTACACCCCCAGCAGGTCCCTGAGGTCCAGTGATCAAATCCTACAGGTTGTGCAGCACCAGGCTAAAGGTCAAAGGTGACAGATCATCTGCTGCTGTGGCCCCCAGACTCTGGACCTCTCTCCCCCTGAGCCTGAGATCAGTGGACTCAGTGGTCTCCTTTAAAAAGCACCTGTAGACTCACTTGTTCAAGCTGGCTTTGGTGTGACCTTCTTCACCTTCTCCTCGTTCAGCTCTTTCTACTAATTCTGCCTTTTACGGTATCCACTGGTTTCCCTCCTTACATTCTTACATTTTTTAATTACAATTTAAATTTTTTGTCATTTTAAACATATTTTTAAATCATTAAAAAAACATCTTTATTATATTTTTGTTTTTGTGAAGCGCCTCGTGATTTTTATCTTGAGAGGCGCTTTATAAAAGATTGTTTTTTTTCTTTCTTTGTTTCTTAAATGATGTCAAAAGTGATCAAAGTTAAACATCCAGTATATCTATAAAAGTTGCTTTTAAAGGGGTTCGGGATTGAAATCAATACATTTCAAAAATGATCACCAGACTTTCGTTTTGACTATTTCCAGTGACTTCCTGAAGCTGTTCAAGTCTTATTGCCCTCACTCACTGATCTTTATTTCCTCCTGTTTTAAAGAGCTCCTTGTCTCTTATCTCCTAGGATGGAGCCAGAGGCCCCTCTACTGCAGAATCCGCTTTCTGTTTGGTGCAGCACACAGACGGGCTCTCCTGTTCTGACATGCCTTGGTCTTGTTTTGTGCATCACTTTAGGTTTTTCTTTTTGCTTTGATAAGTGATGTAAATTAGGTTTGGCAAAACATAATGAAACTTATCCCTACAAATATTGAAATGATTTTTAGAATTAGGTTTGAAAATTTAAGTTCAGTTGATTTGGTAATTTTGAACTTATTCTATTAGAAACACGTGGGGTTTCCACTAGTAACAAGCAGCCAGCATAAGTTATTCCAAATACAAACTTTGGGTCTTGGTTGTTGTGGCAGCATACTGGTCTCTTCATTAGAATGTGATGAAACTTCACGCATCTTCTCAGAATAATCTTCTCTATCCATCTGGAAGGTCGTCGTTATTGCCTCCTCTCCCAGGAGTTAAAAGTGTTTTCTTTTGTTTTTGTTGCTACCCCTGTAGTACTGGTCACATGTACCCCTGTAGTACTGGTCACATGTACCCCTGTAGTACTGGTCACATGCTACCCCTGTAGTACTGGTCACATGTACCCCTGTAGTACTGGTCACATGTACCCCTGTTGTACTGGTCACATGCTACCCCTGTAGTACTGGTCACATGCTACCCCTGTAGTACTGGTCACATGTACCCCTGTAGTACTGGTCACATGTACCCCTGTAGTACTGGTCACATGCTACCCCTGTAGTACTGGTCACATGCTACCCCTGTAGTACTGGTCACATGTACCCCTGTAGTACTGGTCACATGTACCCCTGTTGTACTGGTCACATGCTACCCCTGTAGTACTGGTCACATGTACCCCTGTAGTACTGGTCACATGTACCCCTGTAGTACTGGTCACATGTACCCCTGTAGTACTGGTCACATGTACCCCTGTAGTACTGGTCACATGTACCCCTGTAGTACTGGTCACATGTACCCCTGTTGTACTGGTCACATGTACCCCTGTAGTACTGGTCACATGTACCCCTGTAGTACTGGTCACATGTACCCCTGTAGTACTGGTCACATGTACCCCTGTAGTACTGGTCACATGCTACCCCTGTAGTACTGGTCACATGTACCCTGTAGTACTGGTCACATGTACCCCTGTAGTACTGGTCACATGCTACCCCTGTAGTACTGGTCACATGCTACCCCTGTAGTACTGGTCACATGTACCCCTGTAGTACTGGTCACATGTATCCCTGTAGTACTGGTCACATGCTACCCCTGTAGTACTGGTCACATGTACCCCTGTAGTACTGGTCACATGTACCCCTGTAGTACTGGTCACATGCCACCCCTGTAGTACTGGTCACATGTACCCCTGTAGTACTGGTCACATGTACCCCTGTAGTACTGGTCACATGTACCCCCTGTAGTACTGGTCACATGCTACCCCTGTAGTACTGGTCACATGTACCCCTGTAGTACTGGTCACATGTACCCCTGTAGTACTGGTCACATGTACCCCTGTAGTACTGGTCACATGTGTTCTGTCGTAAGTGGAAGGTAGCTCTGGGTCTGGCAGAAAAAGCTTTTATAACCTCAGCAGATGCAGTAAGTTTCCTCTTCACCTGAGATTACGTGCTCTGCTCTGGCTTTGCTGTTGCTGGTGTCAGATTCATCCATCACGTCTCCTTTACTCCGCCGTCTTTTCTCAGCAAAACCTTTCCTACAGTGTTTTGGGCAGCTTCGTGTTTTTGCTCGTTGGACTGTGTAGATTCAGCGCCAGCATGTCGGTCACCAACAACACTTTCAGGAAAACAAAATAAAGTTATTAAAGTACATTATGATTCCAATAATCCTTAAATGTGAGTTACGGTATTAAAGAGGCTTCTCCTGCATTCAACAGTTGGGGAAAGTATTTTACCTCTGAAACTGATGTAGTGTTTATGTACCAGTGATTAGTCCTTCATCTCTGCTTCTGTAACTAGAGGAAGTTAATGTATCTGTGATCTGTAACCAGTGTTCTTGTCGACTAAAGAGCAAACAGAGTTACACTTTAAACCGATCACTGCTTCATCTTTTCTCTCATGTAGAGCCCTTTGGATCATGCTCAATCATCAAAGAACAAGGGGAATAAATACTTTAAGGCCGGCAAGTACGAAAAGGCAATCCAGTGCTACACCGAGGCCATAGGTCTGTGCCCCGGGGACCAGAAGGCTGATTTATCAACGTTTTACCAGAACAGAGCAGCAGCCTTCGAACAGCAGGTTGGCACCATCCTGCCATCTGTGCAGAACTTTACTTTGTAAAATCACAAAGACGACGTTCAACAACGTAAAAGAGTCGACTGCATGAGTGTAATATAACGCTTTAAACCGTGCCCTCAGTTGAAGTGGACCGAAGTGGTGCAGGACTGCTCCCAGGCGGTCGAGCTGAACCCACGCTACATCAAGGCTCTGTTCAGAAGAGCCAAAGCTCTCGAAAAGCTGGACAACAAGAAAGAGTGCCTGGAAGGTAAAACTCTTGATTCTTTTTAAAATATTCACATAAAAGATCATCCAGAGATGTTTCAGTGTCGCTGATGGTTGATCTCGTGTTCTCTGCATGTCAGACGTCACAGCCGTGTGTATTCTCGAGGCTTTCCAGAATCAGCAGAGCATGCTGCTGGCAGACAAGGTGCTGAAGCAGCTGGGGAAAGAGAAGGCCAAAGAAAAATACAAGGTGACGGTTTAGTCTGGAGTTTTTGTGTTGTTCTGCAGTGATCATCAGGTTCAATGCGTTATTTTTCTCTTTATTTCCCTCTGCAGAACCGTGAGCCAATGATGCCTTCTCCTCAGTTCATTAAGTCGTATTTCAGCTCGTTCACTGATGACATCATCTCCCAGCCCCTGCAGAAGGGTGAAAAGAAAGATGAAGACAAGGATAAGGAGGGTGAAGCAGCTGAAATCACAGAGAGGTCAGAATCATCTCTGCATGCTTAATTTAATTTAAGGTCCCCATTAGCTGCTGCAACAGCAGTTGCAACTCCGAACGCAGCTCAGATGCGTCTGTTTCAGGAAGTACGTCAGTAGCTTCAGACCACAGGGTTTGGAGTACGGCTACACGATATTAGGAAAACCTGCCATATGCAAGAAAGTGATTAATACTGCGATGGCAATATGACTTGCAGTAAATAAAAACTTAACTTGGCAACAAATAAATCATGAACAAAGAATTTTTAAAAATGGCAAAAAATCATAAAAACGAGGAAAGAGAAAAACAAAACGAAGAAGAAAAGGCGATCAGTGGATCCTGGGAAAAGCAGAATCAGCAGAACGAAGTTAACTCGGGTTAACTCGGGTTAACTCGGGTTTTTGCTAACCATCCAAATTGAAGTTCCACCCGATTGGCCCAATGGGTCAAGAGCTTTATTTGATTTGTTAAACGCCGTGCTGCCGTCTGATTGACAGAAGGTATTATGGGTAGCAAACATTTGAGCTGACTATTCATTACGACTTTTTCTATTCTTTGCGATACGCATATTGCGCATGCCGATATTGCGACGACGATACATTTTGCGATATATTGTGCAGCCGTAGTTTGAAGTTTTATTTCCTGATATTTGGACATCTCTCCTCTGATTGGCTACAGCAACTCGACTCTATCACTGACTCTGTCTGCTCTGCAATGCTGATGTTTTATCTCCACTAATAACACAATCCTGGATGAGTTCTGCTGTGTGGTGGAGTTGCTAATGCTAAAAGTTAGCTTGTAGTTAGCAGAGACACTCTCAACTGTTTCCTGGACGTTAAACCAACAACTGCCTTCCCCATGAGTCCATGAGTATGAAGTGACAGTGTGACGTTGATCTGTCAGGCTTTTCATATCCTAGTTTCACCGTCTATTTTCTATCAGAAGCTAATGTAGGAGATAGGTGTAGGAGACTATTTCACGTTCAGCCTGCATGAAAACTCAGTGACTGATTATAATCAGGAATAATCGTTAAAATAATTTTTTCAGTCTTCCACATCTTTAAATAAAGCTGCTTCAGTAGTAGCAGTGACTGTAAAAGTCCCTCAGGGTACATGGTTTCTTGAAAAAGGGTTTTCTGTACATCTCTTTTTTTTTTTTAAAGCTTCAGCGTTTATTAAATCTAAGCTTGTTTCACCAGCGCCGGCTACCTGAAGGCCAAGCAGTACATGGAGGAGGAGAACTATGACAAAATCATCAGTGAGTGCACCAAGGAGATCGAGTCAGGAGGCCGGTACACGGCAGAGGCCCTGCTGCTGCGAGCCACGTTCTACCTGCTGATCGGTAACGCTACTGCTGCTCAGCCGGACCTGGACCAGGTCATCAACATGAAAGATGCAAATGTGAAGGTACACAAGTCTGACCTTACGCTGTGCTCTTTGGGGTCCGTGTCTATTAGTGAAACTGAAAGATGTTTAAGAAAATAAATTCTTTTTAATGCTTATAAACTTTAGTGGGTTAAACTGGTGATGGTTTACCAGCCATGAAGAGCTTCGAGCTGACGTGTTCTCTCCCTCCCTCGTGACCCTGCAGCTCCGAGCCAACGCGTTGATCAAGCGTGGGAGCATGTACATGCAGCAGCAGCAGCCCCTGCACTCCACACAGGACTTTAATACAGCGGCTGAGATTGACACACAAAACCCTGATGTGTACCACCACAGGGGTCAGGTAGGTGGGAGAATACATCACTGCAGCCCTTTTTAGAAGACACTGTCCTGGCAAATCAGCGTAATGCTGCATGGCATTGTGGGACTTTAGCAGCATTCGTTCCATCACGGTTGGTAGTAATCTCACAGCCACGTCGGACTTGTGAATGCATTTTGTGCCTTGGCGCAACAGAGGAAGGTGTCATGATCACATGGGATGCTACTGCCGAGCTCTGGCTGGCTACTATAATGAAAATTAAAGTAAACAAAGGTTGTAAGTTTTGCTTTTGTTAACAGAACCAACTGAGACGGGAAGCTGAAGCGATGCAGAGCTCCAGGAGCTTCACCGGTGGAGGTGGTGATCACTAGAGGTTGCACAGGCACCGGGGAGGACGGGCACCTTTAGGAGCGACTTTTAAAAAATATTAATGAGCACAGCTTCAGTCGCAAAAACCAAGTTATGTCCAAGATCAACAGAAGTCTGTGGCAGCACAGAGACCACCCCATACTCCCTTTAAACCACCATCGCCTAATCTTTTGTAAAAAGGACACGATTGTGCCACATTACTGCCACCATCAGACCACTTATTAAGGATTTTCAGCTACTGCAATTTGGTGTATAATGGAGGCTTTATGCTCTGCTCCCCGTCTCTGTCCAGGCAGACAGTTTGAACTTGGAGTTTAGTCATCTCCTTTAGGTAGATGCATTCATAAATGTTAGCAGTGTGGGGAAACTGTCTTCAGAAAGAGGATCTTTTTAACAGTGAAGTCCTTTAAATTAAAACTTGTAGAAAGGTTTGCAGTTGGCCAAGATGTCTTCAAAATAAAAGCTTTGCAGCAGCTGACAGTAGGTTTCTGGCTGAGGCTCTGGTATATTTTTCTAATGTTTGTACATCTTTTGCATCCTAAACATTTCATGTTGTTGGCAACAGTCCTAAACGTGGGGTTGGGCATCGAGCATCGATTGGAACCGGTTCCAACTGGTCATTTTTCCCGGAATCGCTCAACGTTTTTTATTTTGATTCCTAGAATGCCGAAGGAAGAGGAATCCGCGGCCGATCTCAGTGAAAAATAAACGTGATCTGCAAATTGTGATCAAGGCTTTTCAGAGCTGATCACACCAGCTGTGTGTGTGCAGCACGAGTCCCCCCCTCCCCCACCCAGATATAAACAAACGTGTCTGCCGAACTTTTACTCCGTAACGTAAACGTTAACTCCTGCAGCGTAGAGGAAACGTGTTAAATACGTCAACACGGTGGATTTAATAGAAGCTTTAAAGAACAAACTCTGGACGGTGTGAGTTTGTCTCACTGCAGAAATAACAACACACACGGAGCGTCAGCAGGTGTGTGTGTGTGTGTGTGTGAGAGAGCGTCAGCAGGCTGAACAATAACCTGTAGAATAATTAATGTCATCATGCTAGAGAGGCGTATCTGTGGTGGACCACACCAGCTGCCACAGTAAATAATAATAATAATAATAAATGACACACGAAGTTGTGAACATTTTAATTTCCTTTCTGAACTGTTTCTGTTGAGTTTTAATGTTTAAACCTGTTAGCTTGTTACTGACAGCAGCTACGTTTAAGCTTCACTTCCTGTTGTGACTGAAGCTGCTGCAGCATGGAGGTGTAGTTCTCAGTCAGGGTTAGGGTCCTGGACATGATCATCCTGAGAGTTTTAGCTGGAAACAGCTGGACGTTTCTGGATATGTTGGAGACGTTTAGCCTCTCATCCCAGAGGCTGCTTCCACACTTTGGTTGTGGTCAGAAACAAACACACTGGTTGTGCTGCAAGTCGTCTTCTTTTGTCTCCAAAACATGTTTTAGTCTAAATGAAGGTGATGTTGTTGTTCATAGAGTTAAAATTCATGTTGAAGTTAAGATTATTTCATAAAGTAGGACCTGTGGTTAGCTGGCTCATGTAGACAAGTCATGTCTTCAAGGAATCGGAATCGGGAATCGATAGGAACCGGAATTGAAACGGGGAATTGGAATTGGAATTGGAATTGTTCAAAATCAAACGATGCCCCACCCTTCTTAGATGGGACTATGATGTCTGTTTTCTCAGCTGAAGATCCTGCTGGATCAGGTGGACGAAGCAGTGGGAGACTTTGATGAGTGCATCCGGCTCAGACCCGACTCTGCCCTGGCTCAGGCACAGAAGTGCTTTGCCCTTGTGAGTCTTTTCTAATGAACAAACTCAGAATTAAGTTGATCTGATTTGATAGTCCTTCATACAGGCAGTCTGGTAGAATGAAAGGCCAGCCAGTTCATGTTTCCTCTGTGTTTTGTGCTTCAGTACAGACAAGCATACACTGGAAACAACCTATCACAGGTCGAGAAAGCCATGGACGGCTTTGAGGACGTCATCCGACGGTTTCCAAAATGTGCAGAGGGCTATGCTCTTTATGCCCAGGTAAGAGCTCAGCTGTGGGTTATTCTTAGAAGTGAAAGTTGCATAACTGCTGAGGTGTTGACATATTTAGAAATGGTGATGAAGGAATTAGAATCAGAATCAAAAGTCAACTTCCGGTGGAGCGCTCGAAAGCAATGGTGGCATAGGCAGGAGCTCCCACCAGTCCAAGGATAAAATAACCCCCACAACTCGCAAACCAAGAAAACAAGCATAAATGAAGAAAACCACAAGAGGGGGGACAATTCGAAGAGGACAAAAAGCCACCAAACTCTTGGAAAAGAGACAAGAAAAGGAGGATAGCCAAGAGAAAATGTCGGACAAGGAGGAAGAATCGACGCAGGAAAACAACCCAGATATACTCAAACGCCTGACGAATATCGTCAAAGAAATACGGGAGCTTAAAGAAGAAATTAAGAGAGACGTTACGACTCTGGACTCAAGCATTAAGGACGAATTTAACAGATTCAAAGAAGACGTAAACAGCAAGCTACAAGCTAGCTGCGCAGAAATATGAGAGCAGAGGGAACACAGGGTGGAAGCTCAAAACCGCATCGACGAACTGGAAACCTTCAGCGTGGATGCAAGGGAGATGATCCGTAAAACAATACGGGAGCTGAAGAGATTACAAGAAAAGCTAATAGACTTGGAAGGGCGGTCAAGAAGAAATAATGTGAGGGTGTTTGGACTACCGGAAGGAGGAGGAGGAGGAGATTCAGTTGCTCGCTTCATGGAGGACCTGCTGGTGAGGGAGCTGGCACTATCTCCTGATGAAAGCCGACCAATCCAACGGGCTCACCGAGCAATAGGAAGAAGGCCAGGCCCGGGAGAAAATTCGAGGCCAATCATTATCGGCTTCCTAAATTACGAAACAAAGGAGAAGATTCTGAAAAGGCGTGGCATAACCGGATGAAGTATGCGGACACCCAGCTATACTTTAACCACGATTACGCACCGGAGGTTGTGCAGAAGTGCAGAACCTACTCAGAAATAAAAAAAAGAAGCTGAAACTCGCTTGTCAAAGATCAGGATCCACTGGCCGGACGGCTCCCAGCTCTATAGCACCGCACATGAAGCAGCGAGAGAAATGAGAAGAGGATTGGAGATGCAAGCGATGGACGGCGGTGAGGAAGACGAGGAGGAAGAGCGGTTCCAAAGAGCTCCAGGATGGAAAGGAGTCTGAGGCAGAGAGGGACAGGGTGACCTGACCCAACGGGCAAGAGGAAAATTGAATGAATTCAGAAGACCTGAAACGTCGCAGACTGAAGACGAGTCAATGGGAAGGTAAATCGGCTAAGGGGATTCTACAAGGCTAGCTAACAAAGACATGGACAGGGGGAATAAGGACTTAGGACATGTTGGACTTGGCTAGCAGACGGGAGAACTCTCTAATGGGCCCCCCGTCCGTTACTAGCGAGGGGCCCTTTCAAAACAAGATTATGACTCCAATTATAACAGAAAAGAGCTGGAGGAAGTAATCAAAAGATTAAAAGATAAGTCCCCGGGAAGCGACGGCTTTCCTCCAGAATGGTTCAAGACCTTTAGAGAAGAATTAAAAGTGATGATGCTGGCATCATTTAATGACACACTGACAAAGGGAACCCCCCCAATGGAGAGAAGCTATAATTACGCTTCTTCCGAAGGAAGGGAAGAATAAAGAACTGTGTGAAAACTACAGGCCGATGTCAGTTCTAAATTGTGATTACAAAATCTACACGACAATAATGGCAGAAAGAATTAACCCATTTTTATCAGATATAAAAGACCAATGTGGTTTCATATAGGCCGTCAAACCCAGGACAATATCAGAAGAGCCCTCCACATTATAGAAGCAGCAATGTTGCTTAGTTTAGATGCAGAAGAAGCATTTGACAGTGTGAATTGGGAATCAGCCTAGGAAAAAATGGGATTTAATACAAAATCAACTGGAATAATAAAAACACTATACCAAAACCCCAAAGCCAGGATGAAAATAAATGGAAGTCTTACAGATTGGTTTAGATTAGAGAGGTCAACCAGACAGGGCTGTTATCACCAATTCTATTCACGTTATACACTGAACCTCTAGTGCAGGCTGTCCGAGAGGATGAGGATATAAAAGGAATTGATATTAAAGGAGTAGGACACAAAATTGGATTATTTGCAGATGATGTAATAAGTATAAAAGACCCGGATGCCTGCCTCCCTAAATTGATGAAAAAACTAGAAACGTTTCAATACCTAGCGGGCTATAAACTTAATATGTCGAAAACGCAACTAATGCCTATAAACTATAAACCAAACCCATTTAGAAGGAACACCTACAAATTCAGTTGGAAAACAAACTATATTAAATATCTAGGAGTGACTTTAACGGGAGATCTATCAAGACTCCATGAAATAAACTACATAAAGTCAAGAAAAACAAAAAGATTTAGAAAGATGGTCCACACTACAACTAGATTTTAGTTCAACAATAGAAATAATAAAGATGAATCACCTACCTAGAATTTTATACAAATTTGAATCAATACCAATATGAAATCCAGAACAATAATTCAAGAAATGGAACAAAAAGATTTCAAGAATTGTCTGGGGAGGAGGGGGGAGACCCAGGATAAGATACGCCACATTACAGCTCCCAAAGGATAAAGGAGGATGCGGCCTCCCAAACCTCCTGGAATATTACCATGCAGCCCAGATTCGCGCAGTTAGTCTTTGGTGTAACCCACACTACAAAGCGGGTTGGAAAGAAATTGAATTGGGAGGGGAGATACCCCCTTCCCCCTTCAGAGTATGATTAGAAATAAACAAGAACTAAAGACCAGTGGGAACACCCTAGATTCTATAACTAAACACACATTATAAACATGGTTATCAATAATTGGGAAATACAATCTAGATAAGGAAGTACAAATTCTAAATTGGCTGGATAATGATCAAAAATGTAAACCAGGGTTAATGGACAGGAACTTTAAGAGGTGGAGAAACAAAGGCATTTCACCATTATGCACAATTATGGAGAAAAGGAAATTAAAAAATCAAGAACGAATATGGGATACCAGACACCGACTATGTTATGTACTTACTAATTAAATATTACTTTGACAAAAAGATAAGACCAGGACTACCTCCAGAACTGAATAAGGTTACAGAAGTAATGAGCAATGCATGCAAGGGAAAATCAGAGAAAATGGTCTCGTTACTATATGAAGGGTTGGGGAGAAGAAGGGAACATCATCTTTATATGTTTGCGATAGGTGGGTTAAGGAAAGGGGAACATGGGTGAGTGACGATGAATGGTGGAACATTTGTGAAGTCCAGAAGTCCTCATCTAGTTCAAAGATGTGGAGAATGTTCTGCTGGAAAAATATGATTCAATTCTTTCTAACCCCATCGATGCAAAACAAATATTCTAGTTTCCGACAAGTTTGTTGGAGGAAATGTGGAAAAGAAACGGGTCATCATTATCATATGTTCTGGGATTGTGCTAAATGAAAGAAAAATTGGAAAGATATAGAAAGTACTATAGGGGGGATGTTAGGCTACAAGATACCTTTGACATTTGGAAAGTACTATTTATGCAATCTGACAAATGAAGACTTACAATATGAAGACAGATACCTGGTCAGAATCTTATTAGCAGCTGCAAAGAAGGGGATAACAAGGAAATGGAGGAAGGAAGAACCAACGGCGACGATCTGGGAGGACATGTTGAAGGAGATATACAGCATGGAAAGATTGACTTACAAACTGAAACTGAAGCAGGAGGAACTGCATGAAAAATGGGAAAAATGGACAACATTCTGTACACACCAGGACACCACTAATGGACACCACTAATGGACACCACTAATGGACACCACTAATGGACACCACTGGCCACACTGGAGAGGAAAAAAAGGAGTGAAACCTCACTGACACCCCGGGTTCTGGGAATTGTGTGTTGTTGTTGTTGTTATTGTTGAAAATAATAAAAAATGAGTTTCAAAAAAAGAATCAGAATCAAGTAAATAAAAAATCCAAAGAGGTGTGTGGTAAAAACCTCCTCTGGCCTAACAGATGATGGAAATGTCTGTGGGAGAAAAGAAATGGTTTTCATTTTACTTCACACGCAGGAGGATGTTTATGAATGGCATCATTTGATTAGCATGATGTCATCTTTGTTTAGTGTGTTTTTTGACACGTGCTTTAAAACTCGACACTGTTTTTATTCTGTTCATTTAGATCTGATTTTACTGAGTTCACCAGTTAACTGTTCAGTCATCTAGAGATAACCACGCTAGTACCTTATCTGGAAAATAAAGCTTATTTTCTCTAAATAACCAGATACGGATGTGAAACAGAATCTCCCACATCCAGGTTTATTTGACAGTATTAATGTGATCATGTTAATTATAAGTGCATTGTTATGAAACCGATTTTATGTGGAATGGTGGATGACATCTTCAGGTTTCTGATTTAATGGATACTATTTAATTTTCTTTAAAGTCCTTTCTAGTCACAACAAATCAAGCTTTTCTAAGTCAGAATAAACATTAATCCCTTATCTCAGAATAATGAGATGAAAAACTATCAAGATGATGTCATGAAAATGAATTTCTGAGCATGTCTTCTCTTGGCTTCTGCACCTGCTCGTTTTAGATGAGCAGCTTTATGTTTTCATAGAGTGTGTTGTGTTCCTTTTAGGCTTTGACTGACCAGCAGCAGTTTGGAAAAGCTGATGAAATGTATGACAAGTGTATTGAACTGGAACCAGACAATGCTACGACATATGTACACAAAGGGTAGGGGAGTTTCCTTCCTGCTGGCCGGGTGGACCCTGGTGTCTGAGTGCTGTTAGTTCATGTGCTGTTGAATGTTTGTTCAGGTTGTTACAGCTTCAGTGGAAACAAGACCTGGACCTGGGTCTCGAGCTCATCAGTAAAGCCATCGAGATTGACAACAAATGTGACTTTGCTTATGAAACCATGGGAACCATTGAAGTTCAGAGGTGAGAGCAACAAATAAAGTCAAGTGTTTGTGGGGTTTATTCTTTTTGTTATTGTGCCTTACATAACCTGAGTATTTTTTCTTCAGGGGAAATCTGGACAAGGCAATCGAAATGTTCAACAAAGCTATTAACCTGGCCAAGTCGGAGATGGAGATGGCCCATTTATACTCATTATGTGACGCGGCGTACGCCCAAACAGAAGTGGCCAAGAAGTACGGCCTGAAACCTCCCACACTGTAACCTCTCTGCCAATCGATTGTCAGTTGTTTTTTTTAGCTGAAAGTAACCGTGCTAAACTGTCTGACTTTAATCGTTTTGTTCTGAAAATACTGAATGCTACGAGGAAAAACCCTGGTATAAGTATTGTATTGAATTCTCAGCAAACGGGTTTGTTTTGCTAAATGAGTTGAGTCCACAGTTCAGGTCTGGATGGGAAGTTCACGTCTGGCTCCGCTACTTAAATGTCAAAACTTTTTATTACTCAGAAATTCAACGAGGTGAAGGAAAAATTCTGAATGGCCAAAATGAAAGTTTATTTAATCCTATGCAGGTATCTGTAACATTGAAATCCACAGAAAATACTGTAAGAACTTCATATAAAGTTCTGATGGACTGATGGTTCATGCTGGTTTGAAAGTGTTTTTTTTTTTTCGCACCAGATTCTTTATTGTACTTTTCATGAAAGCAAAATAAAACATAGTCAGCTGTTAGATGTCTGTATTTGATGCTGGAATGGATCCTGGCCCACAGACGGGCCTGTTTACTCCTTTTTAATCGATGGGTTTGCCTGGTCTTCTGTTTTCTTTTAACAGCATGCTCACTTATTAAATGTAAATGCAATGCTCGAGATGTCTTGAACACTAGTAAAATTCTACATGAGACCTTGCACAAAAATGTTTTGGATTAGAAGACATCAGCCACCTGTTCCTATTTTTATGTTATTTTTGAGCTCTAATGTCTGGAGGCATCACCCGGGATTGGGTGTTTGAATGATTTGGGTTTTTGAAACAAGATTTAATTTAATTATTTTTTTTTTTTACTGTGAAGTATTTTTTCCTTTTATATGTTAAGTTCTAGCTTTTAAGGTCTTAAGACATCACAACATTTTAGTTTTCTGTTTTTCATATTCTAAACCCGCCTCACGGTCCAAGGCCTGCATCTGTCCCTGGTGACTTGTGAATGATTAGGTTCTGGGGTTGCGTTCAAACATGATTAACAAAAACGACCATCACAGCTAAAGACCCAGGATGTTTGTTAGTTTTTTGTTTGTTTGTTTGTTTTACAGCTTTGAAGGAGCTGCTTCAGTTCTTAAAGCAGTTCAGCAACTGTTTTTTTATTTTTTGTTCTTTTTTTTTATTAAAACCAAACCACGCATTCCTGCTGCTGTCTGACAGGAAGACTGCTCAAACTCAAACTAAACCTTCACACCCTAAACAAAAGCTGTTTGACAGTAACATTGTTCATCAACGATGTGTATGGTGACCAAAGTTGCATATATTGTGAATCCTAATAAAGTTATAATTCTTGGACTGAGTCTCACATCTGAAAGTGTTGTACTGTATGTTTTAAATTTGATGGTTTGTTGCAATTTAAAAATGTTCATGAATTTTGCTAGTTTCTTGAAAGCTTTATAATGAAGGCTTTGCCCTCTCACTACTTTGACCTTTTCAGCTGGTATTTTTCTATATTTCAGAAGTTTGCTTTTGTCCCCTATGTCAGTGTTTCCCAGAGCACACTGGCCTGCATGTTTTCCATGCCTCTGCTTCAGCACACCTGATATTTATCTGCTTCTCAGGAGGACATCAATTGCTGCAGATGCCTATTAATCACTCCTTTAAGTCAGGTGTGTGGCAGCAGAGACACACTGGTGTTTAAAAGTGTAACATGGAAAACATGGACAGTGTGCCTTGAGGACCAGGGTTGGGAAATACTGCCCTAAGTGACAATTTCAATGTCAACTATAAAGACCAGCTGTCAGACAACACTAAAGTTTTAATTTGCTGCAAATAAATTTTGTTTATTGAAATGTGTGCCGCATGCAGGCAGTACATTCTATTGGTGATCGCTTTTTGGGTGTAACCTTTGATCTAGGGCTGGGCAATAAATCAAAAATTTATTGTTACTGAAATTTCTCACTTAAAGATAATTTTTCCCATGTCAATAAATTTGATAAAGAACTAAAAAAATGTGTGTAGGTTGGCAAAATTCATGTCCCTTTAAGAAGTTGCACCACCTTGAGTCACACAAAAATATGACAACATAATGCATGTAACAGCCTCGTCTAGTGGACATCTTTTGTTTCTGCTCATACCTGTACTGTCCATTTATCGTAAACGAGGTGAAATCCTCGATGTATCGTGATATTGATTTTAGGCCATATCGCCCAGCCCTATTTTAACCTGTGAATGGAGCTATGAAAAATTCTCTCAATTTAACTAATCAGGCAAAAAATATGTTTTGGGCTTTATTTGCAATCATGCAGCTAATTGTTTAACAGCTTAGGGTGAACTAAAAACCAATAATGGTTCATTATTTTCCTCAAACTCCTTTAGTTGGCAGAGCAGCAGGCAGTGGTATAGATTTCTGTGTTCGGCATGACTCGGTGCAATGCTGGATAATCAACTGGTGGAGCTTGGTTCATGGATGGCACATCAGCTCATTTTGGGTTGGTTCCCCAAAATATTTGAGTTTGAATAAGTTATCCACAATCTTTACCACATTTGATTAGATGTGAATATTTAAAACCCAAATCAAATTTAAGTTTATAAATACTGTTCCATGTTTGCAAATGATTTAGCATTTTTTCATTTTTTACGAAAGTAAACTTTTTTGGTACTTTCTTTTCAGACATCCAACTCAATAATGCCATTACTTTCATATTTAGCCTGTGTACATGTGTTATTAGTAAAGCCAGTATAATATTGTTAAAAGCAGCTAAAAAATAAACCCAAAAAAGCATGGGCAAATGCCATTTATTTATGACAATAAAAATAACCACAACTATCAAAGCCATGGTGTTTCTGATGTTTGAGGTAATTCTGAACATAATTTTATCATCAGTTTTTATTGACATTGTGCAATAAATAGTAAATGTTTTATTTGTTTTACCCTAAAAATCAAAGTTAGATGTTATTATTAATGCAAGTGAGTTGGACTCAGTAGAGTAGTAAGAGAACTCAATGTTTACGACATATGAGCCATGTTTACGGTACGTTACGTGTCTGTCAACATTAACAATGGAGTCTGTGGAGGAAGCTCTTCAGGGCAGCTGGTGAGACAATTAATCGTTGGATTAGCATATCTAGAGGCTTACGTATAGCTGTCAGAATGTTGTCTTTGTCTCATCGTCACCAGTTACATAAAAAGTAGTTTTTGTCGCTGCTGCACTGACACTTGGCCTTATCTAGTTCGTTAATGTAGCTAGGTAGCTAGTTAGCTTAATGATAATCAGCTAAACTGCTTCTCATAGCAGTTTAGCCACTAAGATAGGTAACCAGTATTTCTGTTTGTAGTTAATACCTTAGTTATTTTTTTATTTTTTTTTTATTTTATCTTTGGCACATTTTAAGAAAGTGGTCGTTTATTAATATGCTCAAAATTTGCTGGATCTCCTCAAAGTCACTGCCAAATAGCTACTCGGACCCTAGTAGTCATGTTGTCTTTAAAATTAAAACACGTTTATGTTGAAAACATTCACAGCAGTGTCAGCCATTGTAAGACTTTTCGAGACTTTAAACGCGTCTTGTCATGTGCCTGGAAACAGCTGGTGTTAATTCATTTCACGATAAACTAGAATTGAGACAAATAGCTAACGATCCTTAGAAAGCCCTCAGAGCGACAGGATTTCTTTTGATTATTTTAAAATTTGATATTTCATTGATTGACTTAAGCTGTCATGTTTGTGTTCAACTTCACATTGTATTTAATTTCAGTGTGTGAAATGTGTGTTCTGTGATTGTCCCCAGGGACCAGGATCTAGCCGAGGCTCTGGACTCAGGAGGCTCAGACATGGACATGGAGATGGAGAGGAACATCGTCCAGGTTCATGAGTATTCAGCTCAACATAGAGCAAAGATGTGGAAGGTCTGTTAACAAGAAAGAGGTCACTTTATAGTTGAGAAGCAAAGGGTTTTTGGATGTGTTGGGATTTTTGGGGGTCAGACACATACAGCCACATTACTTTTTACTTGCTTTTCTTTTAATTGGTTTAGTAGGAAAAATTTAGTCACATAGAGCATCCAGACAGGAAAAGCAGTCCCCCTCTAGCATTTTCAGAACACTGTTGATGTAGATAAAAACATTTAAACATTTTTATGTTCAGATTTTTACTAAATATCTATTTTAGGCATTTTTGAAAAGTGTAAATAAATAAAAAATGAACAATTTTTTTAAATTAAAGAAATCACCTTTTTGTGGCCTGTGAGGGATTTTAACTTGATTATTTTGGCCTTTGTCTTGAAAGGTTAGGAATCAGCTCCTCTAAATCTGAGACCATGGTCTTGATTAGGAAAATGCCTTCTCCGGGTCAGGGATGAGGTCCTGCCCCAAGTGGAGGAGTTTAAGTATCTCAGGGTCTTGTTCACGAGTGAGGGAAAACTGGAGCATGAGATCGATAGGTGGATTGGTGCTGCATCTGCAGTGATGCGGGCGTTGTACCGGTCTGTCGTGGTGAAGAGAGAGCTGAGTCAGAAGGCGAAGCTCTTGATTTACCGGTCGATCTACGTTCCTACCCTCACCTATGGTCATGAGCTTTGGGTAGTGACCGAAAGAACGAGATCACGGATACAAGCGCCCAAAATGAATTTTCTCCAAAAAGTGTCTGGGCTCTCCCTTAGAGATAGGGTGAGAAGCTCGGTCATTCGGGAGGGGCTTGGAGTAGACCCGCTGCTCCTCCACATCGAGAGGAGCCAGTTTAGGTGACTCGGGCATCTGGTCAGGATGCCTCCTGGACGCCTCCCTGGTGAGGTTTTCCAGGCACGTCCAACCGGGAGGAGACCTAAAGGTAGACCCAGGACACGCTGGAGGGACTATGTCTCTCACCTGGCCAGGGAACACCTTGGGATTCCCCCGGAGGAGCTGGCCCAAGTGGCTGGGGAGAGGGAAGTCTGGGCCTCTCGCCTTAGGCTACTGCCCCCGCGACCCGACTCCGGATAAGCGGATGAAAATGGATGGATGGAGTTTAGGACACCCCGCTCTAGAGGGATTTTAATTTTCCCTACTTTGTTTTAATAAAACACTGTCAGTTTAGCTTTTGAAAGGACATTGTATGTCCTACAATTTGTTTGTAAGTAATGAATGGAAATGGTAGGATATTGACAGGATATTGTAAAATTCTTGGCCCGTATTGAGTTTGAGTTGGTAATGATGTACCTGTAAAATTTCATAGTCAGTGTCTCACCTGAGACGCATGATGATGTCAAACATAAAAGCTTGGTGTGTGTGTTCTGGCTGTTCTTATCAGAAGTAAACAACTCTAAATACAGCCCGGGAGCAAAACCCACCCTCATTGGTCAGATTTCACTCATCCACTCTACAAGGCATCCATGTTTACAGATGTTTACAAACTTTTATAAGATTTTTAGTGTGAACAGTGGAGAAAAATATAAAATAATTTGTCAGTCACATCATCAGCACGTCATCAGAGCTGTGTAGAACACGTAGCTAGAAAGTTTAAATAAAAAATAAAATTTTATTTCTCCCAAATGTTTTAAATTTGCCCTTTTGATCAGATCATGCATAACATATTAGTGTGTGGGCTCTCATTGTGGTCAGGCCAATCAGAATTTTAGTAAATGCTGAAATCTGGCACCTGGTTCTGGTCTCTGTAAGGATTTACCAACTGGAAGGACCAGAATGTCATCCTCGGGTTACGTCAATTCATCCTAACACACCTCTAGTTGAGGCTTTGGTTTTATTTAGTGCCACATTCCTGTCATTTAAAAACCAGTTTATCCCTGTCGATGCTTTCATTCCTTTGTTTATGAGGTAGACAGACACGTTGATTAAACATCGGTCTGTCTTAGATCACAGCAAAGCAATAATCTGAAAATGGTCTCTGGCTAATACCTCTGAGGTCTTCTAAACTTTGTGAGGAAACTAGTAACAAACTGAACTGTGTTTGTTTATGAAAGATCTTTTGTTCATTATGAAAACTGTAAACTGCACCTTAAATGCTTGTTCCTCAGCTGATAAAAGCCAGTCGTTGAGTTTAAACTTTAGATTTGACCCTGATGGCATACATTTTGATTGATTGAAACGTTTATTTGAACATAAGACAAAATATTATTTAAAAATCTATGAACATAGTAGAAAAGAAAAGATTTACCAATAAAAAGAAGTCTTTGTCCAAAGGGTGTAAGAAGAAGCAAGTGCTTATTCAATCCCACCCCCTTGTCTCACATTACTAATTTACTTTACAAGTTACCATCTATACATACATACATATATATATATATATATATATATATATATATATATATATATATATATATATATATATATAAAATAGAGCAGGTCCTAATACTGACCCCTGGGGGACACCACAGGCAATCCCCATATTTTCAGAAGTGACATCATCCATTTTCACAAATTGTTGTCTCTTAGATAAATAATTGGTGATCCAGTCCAGTGCTATTCCCCTAATGCCGTACTGTTGAAGCTTATTTGTGAGAATTGAATGATTTATTGTATCAAAAGCTTTCCTAAAATCTGTAAATACTCCAATAGCATAGAACCTTTATCTAATGTATTAATTATTTCATCCGTTGCTTCCATTATTGCAAGTGCTGTTGTCCTCTTTTCTCTGAATCCGTACTGACTATGGTTTAGTATTTCGTGTTTATTTAAAAAGTTTTCTAGTCTGATATAAAATAGTTTTTCCAGGATTTTTGAAAATTGAGGAAGAAGTGTTACTGGCCTGGAGTTAAGTAGATGTTTATTCCCTTGCTTAAAATTGGTATTACTTTAGCTACTTTCATTTTCTGAGGAAATAAACCTGTTTGGAAGGATAAGTTAAATATATACGTTAATGGTTTTAGAATACCATCAATAACTCTTTTAACCAACACCATATCAATACCGTCATGATCAGTGGAGACTTTGTTGTTGCATTTATCAACAACTGATTGAACTTCCAACTCATCCACTGCTGAGAGGAAGATTGAGTCGGGGTAGTTTGTTTTTATCAATGGTTCACTTATTGTCTGTCTTTTGGCTTGGTATATTTGCTGCTAGCTCTGGGCCTACATTCACAAAATATTCATTAATTCTATTAACTACTTTTATTTTATCATAAATATCACTTTGATTATCAGTAAAGTATTCAGGGTATAGTATTTTCTTTGTCCCACCATTCCTTAATTTGTTTAGTATATCCCAGACACCTTTTACCTTTTAAGTTATTCTTATTTTCATTTAGGATTTTTCTGTAATATATCTTTTTACTAGTTCTTATTATTTCAGTGAATTTATTTTTGTAAACTTTATATCTGATTTCAGCTTCCTTAGTTCGTAGTTTAATAAAATTCCTATAAAGACCATTTTTCTTTTTACAAGCGTTTTGTAATCCTGTAGTTAGCCATGGGAGATTTTTATACTTATGACTTCTATTAATGACCTTGACTGGACAATGCTCATTGTAAAGTGTCTTAAATATGTCAATAAATGTACTATATGCCATGTCACCGTCATCTTCCCTATAGACTACATCCCAGTCTTGGGACATCAGTTCCTCTTTAAATGCAGCAATTAAATCGTCTGTTCGTAATCTCTGATGGATCTCTTTCCCTGATTTCCTTTGACACCTACTTTCTTTAATTACATTGCTGATATAACTAATATACAAATATAGGTAAGTGGTCACTAATATCTTTTGTTAGAATGCCACCTGCCATAATTTTTTCAACACAATTTGTAAAAATGTTGTCAGTCAAGGTTGCACGTTATGTCGTAATTCTCGTTGGTCGTGTGATCTTCAGGAACAGGGATAGACTACACATCACGTCTAAGAAATCTTCAGGATGTTTATGCAGTTTTGACTTCATGAGGTCGATGTTAAAGTCCCCACAGATGAAAATATCCTTTTGGCCGATGTTTGTGTACATTTTCTCTATGCAGGTTTTAAACGTACCCATATCCGATCCTGGGGCTCTGTATATACAGCTAACTAGTATATTCACTCCATTTTCCATTATTATCTCAATTGTTAAACTTTCCATGACTTTGTCTAGTGTCATTGTCATTTCTGGTAACATTTTACTACTTAAATTCCTGTCAACATACAGAGCTCCTCCTCCTCCTTTTTTACACTTTCTGTCTGAATGTACGTCTCATATCCATCTAAATCAACATCTGAGTCTTTTTCATCATTGATCCATGTCTCTGATATGAATATAATCCTAAAAGGAGTTTTAAACTGATTTAGAAAAGCCTTTATGCTCTCAACGTTTGCATAGAGACTTCTACTATTAATGTGGATTATTGATAAAGATCGATCTGTCTTCATTTGTTCGTTTAGCTGTAGTTCCCTATAATAAAAACTCACTGTTTACATGACTAAAGTAATTAATGTCAGGGTCTATGTCATCTAAATTATTTTGTTGTTGACAAATGTTTCCAGTTCTGTTTGATTCAGCGTGTTCATAATCCAGTCCTCATCTTCAGATGAAAGATATATATCAAATATTCATGAGATGTACAGTCGATATGCATCCAAGAATAAATAACAAAAACACAAAAAAGAAGTAACCAGGATGTAATGAGTAACTGTTTGGTTTGAGAATTTTATCATTTAAGCTTCCCTAGCTCCTCAGTGTCTCTTATCAGTTGCACTTTAGCATCTTCTGGCGCTCCGAGCAGTTTTATCCACACGTTGCCATTCCTTGTCCATGTGGACTGTATTCTCCCGTTTCCTGGGAGCCCTTGCTTGCCTTGCTATTCCAGAATGTTTCTTTGTCGAGTGTTCGTTTATGTACACGGCTGATCCTCTAAGTGTTTTTGTTTGTTGTAATAAGTCAAGTTTTGACTTTCTGTTCATGAACCTGATAACAATAGCCTGTTTGCATTTTTATCTTTCTCAGGCAGCACATGACAGGCAGAGAGATCCTTACCATCGACATGAATATTTTACTTGGTTTTGAAGAGTATTTGGTTCTTCAAGCGTCTCACCAGTCTGCTTCTCAGCATTTGCTGTCACTCGAGCATCTGATCGGTGCCTCGTGATACGCCCACTCACAGTAACATCCTCCATTCTTGTATATTGTTCTAAATCATCCACCCGCCTTTCCAGGATGTTAATTATTTTGTCTTTCTCAGTGATTTAGGCTTTCAGTTCCTTCACTTATTTTACAAAGTCCATCAGTACTGTTTTCTGTTTATCTTGGATGTCTCTCCAGTTAGGAAGTTCAGTGAGAGCTGGAGCTAAATGATCATCATTGAATAATGTATACTTACTAAAGTATTGAAAAAGCTGTTTTCTGACCAGTTTCAGCTCTTTCTGGGTAGCCGGTGTCCTTTTGTCATTCAGAAACTCTATTTTTAGCTGTGAATCTTTTTTTGTGCTCTGGCAGATTGCTCTCAACGTCTCCGGAAAAGGAGACAGCTTGTCTCCGTGGGACGGTGTCCTTGATTTACTCGAACAGACACTCATTCACAACCGCAGCCAACAGCTGATCGGTGAGTAAAGTCACTGGATGTTTAGGACCTTAAGGTTTAAGAATCACAAGATATGAAGGGAATAGATTTAGCATAAAAACGGATTTATAAATGATTTAAATAGATTTTTGTCCTTGAGATTCTTGACTGGGAAGGAAGAAACCTGTTTAGCAGCATTTTAGATCTGAGCTTCTGTCTCGCTGAGATCAGATCAGGAAGTGTTTCTCTGATCCTTGTGCTGCTTTGACATCAACCAGAGTGGGTGGGTGTGGCTAAAGTAGGAAATGTCCTCAAATGTTTCAACCAAGACACTTTCTTCGTCCTCTAGATTAGAAAATCACATTGAAAGTTTCTTTGCTTCTCTACTTTAAAATACCTCCAAATGTCATTCTTCATGTTTCTCTGTCATTGGTTTTCAAGCCAAGAGTGAATCCACGAGCATTAACGGTGCTGTGAAAAATGTTTACTCCTTTAAAGATGTTTTTGTTTTTGTTGCACTTAAATATCGGTTACTGAATTTGTTTGTTGATTTGAAGCACAGATAATTGAAGTAAAGATGATGACTTTAATGATTGAGGAGTAAAATAATCCAAACCAACCGTCACCCGACCTTATTTGAAAAAGTAATTGACCCCTACATTTAATAACTGGATGGATGCAACATCCTCTACCAGCTTAAGGTCAGACTTTGTCCTTCAGGATTTTCTGCTAGAGAGCAGAATTCATGGTTCCATCAGTGGTCCAGGTCGTGAAACAGGCCTAGACCATCACACTACCACCGCCGTGTCTGACTGGTAGCATGATGGTCTTGTTTGAAACGCTGTTAGTTTTATAGCAGATGTAACAAGACAAGCACCTTCTAGAAAGTTCTGCTTTTGTTTCATCAGTCCACAGAATATTCCCCCAGAAGTCTTGGACATTGTCATGTATTTTTTATTTTATTTTTTTTGTCAAATGCGAGACGTTCTTTGTGGTCAGCAGAAGGTACTTCTAATTGAAACTCTGCATTTGGCCCTAACTAAGTGAATCCTGCAGGGCTTTAAATGTTGCTCCAGGTTCATTTGCTCTTGAATTTCTCTCATAGTATGTTTGAGATCTTTTGGCCTACTCCATGTTTTCAGGTGGGTTTGATCTTTTTACCGACTTAAGTTCTTTAAACAACTCTGGAGCATTTTTATGGCCGATGTCAAATTACAAATGCCAGTGCTGCAGCGTTAGCTCGGCACAGACAGCCTTGCCTTTGTAAAGAACGACTACCCCCCCCCCCCCCCCACTGCTGAGAATGAAATAGTTTTTATGTGATCTTCCCTCTACGATTGAGACATTAGACTGTTATGCGTCTGACTGCATATTGTACCTTTAACAAGAGTTACAGTTACTGTTTTAACAGGACTAGGTTGGTTTGGCGCTCTGCTTTAATAAATGAAATTGCCATTTTAAATACGTATTTTTTTGTATGTACTGAGGTTTTCTTAATATATTAAATGAGTTCAATGGTCTGAACCATTTAAAGGTGAAACACAAACTGATTTGCAACAGGGCAGAAACTTTAACATGAGTCTATGAGAACATGTCCATAACACCTCTCTGCTTGATTCTCACTTAGACCAGCTGGAAGCTTCAGAAGAAGAAAGGAGTGACATGGTGTCTGACGTCGAGTCGGTTATCACGTTCTACTGCAAGTCTCGTAACATCACCTTCACCCCAGAGCTCAGCTGGCCACATGTGCTCAAACCCCTGCTGGGGCTTCGGTTACCTCGCAGCGACCTCTACAACTGCTTCTATGCTGTCATGAATAAGTACATCCCCAGGTAAACCCTCTCATGCTGCTGTACTTTATCCCTCCTCACAATGAGATGGATCACACGGACAACTCTTCGTTTTATTTCAGGGACTGCGTGCCAAAGGGTCGACCGTTCCACCTTTATAGACTGCTTCTGCAGTATCATGAGCCCGAGCTGTGCTCCTTCTTAGACACCAAGAAAATCACCCCTGACTCGTACGCCATCAGCTGGGTCCGTCTGGTTTTTGCTGCGACAGAAATGCTGCAGGCTGTGCAGGAGATCTGAGCTCTGCCTGTCTTTGTTTTGTCTGCTCTGCAGCTGGGCAGTTTGTTCTCCAGCCACTGCAGGCCAGAGGTCACCCAGGCCTTGTGGGACTCGTACCTTCAGCAGGGGGACCCTTTCCTTATCTTCTTCCTCATGCTCATCATCCTCGTCAATGCCAAGTTAGTAGTTTATCAGAAGCTATTTAAGACCCAGTATCTTTCATTTCTGCTCTAATGGTGTGATGTTTCTTCAGAGAGACCCTTCTGGGACAAGAAGGAGAGAGCAAAGAGGACATTATCAGTGAGTTTACAACATTTTTTCTGGATTTGTTCAGCGTGTTGATTGAAAACTTGACTTAAACAGTTTTTTTATTGACGCAGAAATGCTGGAAGCATCGCCTTCACTCCTAGAAGCTGAAGATATTGAGGACTTGTTTTCACTGGCCCAGTATTACCAGAGCAAGACTCCCCTGTCGCTCAGAAAGGTGAAGCTCTTAAAGCATACCAAGTGTTGCTTGGCTACGATGAGAAGACAACGTAAGTCTTTATTTCTCTCTTTGGTTTGGTAGATGAATCAGAATCTGTTTGGTAGCAGCCTGGTGGCGCTTAAAGAGGAGGACACTGACTTAAGTCAAGCTCTGTGTCTTCCTGTGTCTGTTCCTGAAATCCTGCAGGCCAATCAGCTGCAGCAGGTCAGTGACACCCACATATGCAGCTAGCGAAAGAGCCGGGTCATATTCTCAGACATGATGAGGGCTGGTTTTTAAATGTTTTTGTTATTTTTGGGGGTTTTAGGATGGGGTACGGTTCTTTGTGGTAGATTGTCGACCTGCAGAGCAGTACAACGCTGGTCACCTGTCCACAGCCTTCCACCTGGACTCTGACCTGGTAAGGGATGTTAGCAATATTAAATACTTCTGAAAATGTTTGTGGACCATAATGGATGTAATCTATATGCATCCCCAAAGATGCTCCAGAACCCCTCGGAGTTTGCTCTGTCTGTCAAGTCCCTCCTGGAGACACAGAAGCAGTCCCTGGAGTCTGGATCCATCGCCAGCGGCGAGCACCTGTGCTTTATGGGCAGTGGGAGAGAGGAGGAGGACATGTACATGAACATGGTGCTGGCACATTTCCTACAGGTGAGGGACACGGACAGAAAGGATGGAGGTTAGACCTCATCAGTCTTTTTATTTAATCGAAAGGCAACAGAACCTAGAAGCTTTGGTAGGTTTTTGATGTTTTTCTTAAACTAGGATGAATCATTTCTGTGGGTTTTATTTGTTAGAATGAGACTTATTTTCTTGACAGACTATTTATTTAGTTTTCTCTGACAAAGACTCTCTGTTACAGAAAAACAAAGAATATGTGAGCATCGCTAAAGGGGGTTTTATGGGTAAGTAGGTCATGCATTCCCACTGTTAGCATCACTACAGCGTTAGACGGTTAGTGGTCAGGTACTTGGACTGTGCAGTTTTTTATTGCTCAACACAGAAAAGCCAATTGCTACTCAGTAAATGACTCCAGTTTGTTGAACCAGAAGTTTTTTATTCCAACACTATACTGCTCCTCGCTGAGCGAACCAGAGTAAACACCCTTTCACAATAAGAGCACACACAGAACACATTGTTCAATTCAATTCAAAATTCAAAAATACTTTATTAACCCCAGAGGGAAATTCAATTGTTTTAGTACACACAATTCCAAGATCAGACATACATACATACATAGACACATGTCCAGAGTTGGTGACTGTGGTCATTTGCAACACGAGTCGCGCTACCGTTATCGATCAAGAGGGTTTATATGAGGACAGAGTCGGGGGAAGGCTCTTCAGAGTTACCCCCACCGAGAGGATAGCTTTGCTATGCAAAAGAACACGCACACAGACTTCAGACAATACACAACATACGTGTCCACTAGGTGGGGACGTAGGGTTGGGACTCTCCTCACTTCAGATCGTGCAGCCGCAAGAGCAGCGCTCATCACCTCCGTTTGGACAGGGGAGGGAGATAATGGGTTAGAGAGCACATTGAATCCTAGATACGGTCCCACGGCCTTCACCGGTCACAGTCCCTCCCAGGCTGGGATAGGGAGAGAGTTTCCATAGCGACAGCAACATTCCACATTTCTTCTGAGGGGAGTTTTCACTTCAGCCTCACAGGCTCAAGGGCACCAGATTCAGACAACAATTAAAATGCAGTCAGAGTTTAATGCAAATAGTAGGCAATAGTGTGTGTGTGTGTGTGTGTGTGTGTGTGTGTGTGTGTGTGTGTGTGTGTGTGTGTGTGTGTGTGTGTGTGTGTGTGTGTGTGTGTGTGTGTGTGTGTGTGTGTGTGTGTGTGTGTGTGTGTGTGTGTGTGTGCGCGTGCGCGTGTGCGTGTGCGTGTGTGTGTGTGTGTAATGTAGCCTGGTGGGCCATCCTATGTAAGTAAATATATAGTATGACCACGGACCAATGAAACGACTCCCTTATGGGGTGGCATCTATCAAACTGTCTTTTAAACGGTGTCTGCACGCAGTTGGTCCGCACTAGGTCCAATCAGATCAACCAACAACGTGACGTACTCGCTGCTACGGTTGTCAGTAAACGGGGCAATTCAATGCAAATACACTGCCTGGCCAAAATAAGTTCGCCACCTGGATTTAACTGAGCATATAGGTGGAAGTCTATTGGATATTTACTGCATGGTAACAAGTTATTTAACCCAACTGGTGCAATGAACATCTGGTGGTCGTGGAAAAGAGGTTAGTCTGTTAGAGAAGGGTCAGATCATTAGCATGCATCAAGCAGAGAAAACATCTAAGGAGATGCAGAAACGACTAAAACTGGCTTAAGAACTGTCCAACGCTTTATTAAAACCTGGAGTTATAGTGGGGACCCATCATCTTCTAGAAAAAAATGTGGCCCCAAAAAATATCTTGTGATCATTTAAACATTTGGTTAAATCACATAGAAGGAAAACGGCAGTAGAACTCAGGGCTATGTTTAACAGAGGAAATAAGAGCATTTCCACATGCACACTGTGAAGATTGGGACTGAACAGCTGGTAGCCATAAGAAAACCACTAATCAGTGAGGGAAAACAGAAAAAGGCTTCAGTTTGCTAGGGTGCATAAAGATTAGACTCTGGAGCAATGGAAGAAGGTCGTGTGGTTTACTGAGTCTAGATGGACCCTGTTCCAGTGTGGGGGTGCATCAGGGTAAGAAGAGAGGCAGAGAGAGTGGCGCACCCATCATGCCTAGTGCCTGTGGGGGCAGTACCACCACAGAGTCTAGACCTTAACTCCATTCAGAATCTCGACGCTTGGCCTGGCGGGGGGTTAAGCAAAGTTTGGCAACCTGCATGGCTTAAAAAGTGCTCGGGTAGGGTCCGGGTCCGGGTTAGGGTAAACCGTGTGGTTGGAAATAAAACTTGTGACATTGCAGAAGCTTATTGAAACAATGCCACAGTGAACACGTGCCGAAATCAAAGCTAAAGGAGGTCCAATGAAATATTAGAGTTTGAGCTTATTTTTGGTGCCAACTTTTCTTCTGGGCCAGGCAGTGTACATTCACTAAAGTAAAGGACTTAAGTACTGCAGTAACCTGCTCTTGACTCAGTAAAGCCTGGCTCTGATGCCAAAGCTGTTTCAAACGAGTGGCCGCCATCTTTGTTGTTTTCTTCTGTCGCAGCGCTGGTGGTTAGCCCATCCGAGAAACGTAGAGCACTGTGATTGGCCATAGCCTGACACACAACTGTTTGGACCAATGGTAGACCTGCTGAGGCTACAGCGGAGCACGGCTAGACTAACCTGCAGAGTAACTTCTTTATGCTACTGCTACAGTTGGTCCAGATTTCTGGGTTCGGTGTAACTGACTGATTTAGTCCAAGTGAAGGTGGCCACCAGTGTTGCCACAGTTACCTTGAAGAAGTAATCTGATTACGACTCTCTGATTAAGTCTTTAAGCAGTAACTACTTGTAACTTGAATGTAAAAGTAACTTGAGTTAGAGAACTTTATTAGTTACATTCAGCAGCTGCTGACAACCCCCTGAACACGAAATGACTGGCGCATTTGTAACAGTGATGTCATCAATGTATCTGATACTTTTCTTAAATGTTTCTATAAAAATAAAATGTCAGCCATGATGCGACTCCAGATGTTTGTTCACATTTGAGTGTTTCTGAAGAACGATAACCCTTCATCACCGATGGTACAACCAACCTTGACACGGTCGTCTTTAACTGAATCAAACCCTAACCCTAACCTACTCTGTTTGTGTTGATGCTGGTGCTGCTCACTGCTTGGTGCACGTGAGTGAACTTGTACTCACCTAGATGTAAAAAGAAAGCATTTGTTCCTTCAAACTAAGGAAGAAGCCAAACGTGTGAACGTAAGGTGATTTAAATCTGATTAATGTTAAAGGGAGCTTTAACAACTACGACTCCCATCACTTCTCTACGTGATACGTTGTTGTTTAAAACATGAAAAGCTTTGGAATGAGTGGGTTTGTTGTTGGTGAGGGTGAAACACATTTAGCATAAATACCATTTTTAGTCTAAGCTACAGTTTACAGAGATGTGTGTCGTTTCAGGCCTTCAGAAGCACCTGGTGGACATGAACGTTGAGGGCCTCGACTCTTCCTATGTAAACTGGATTGTCAGCACTTCTGGATCTCACAGCCTCGGTTCTGCTGATGTAGGAATTAATTTAATTTGACATGTTTTTAATAAAGTTGAAGTGCGGATGAAAATATTTGATCTGGTCTTCCTAAACGACACAGGGAGAGTCTCTGAGCAGCCCTGGAGATGGCAAAGGTGTCAAGTCACTGGTCAACAAAATGACATTTGCTCTCAAGTCCAAGTCTGTCAACGTGAAGGAGAAGATGATCAGCTTCATCGAGAACACCTCCACCCCTGTAGAACGGTAGGGACCCGCTCCCCTTCTGAACTTCATGTTTAGAGCTCTTCCTGTACCACTCACCCGTGGGTTTAATAGGAGTTTAAACCGGACTGAACTGGGCTGTCATTATTCTGATTGTTAAAAATAATACCACAGCTTCGTTGTAATGCAAGACAAAATAAAGTCCCCTGTGCCTTATTCCACACTAGAATAACTTTCAATCTGCCCTGGCCAGAGAAGGTGGTCCAAGATCGGTAAGAGCTCCCAAACATTGAGTCATTCCTCACCAGCATGCCCACTGGCTTTAGATTTGCACCGGTCCTCTTTTCTACATGAAAGCATGTCTCGTAGCAGCATCTTCCTAATCCGCTCACTCATAACAGCAGCAGCAGCACACTTTCCACACGCCGAGAGCAGCCTGTGTCTACGGTCTTTGTTTCATGCTTTCACTAACAACATGTGGAGCTGCTGCAACATGCAAGTACTCATCCGTACATCCTGACGTTCCTAAGGCTGTGGTCTAGTTCTCTTTTTAAAAACGAAACAAGTGGCTGAGAAGCTCTAGGACACGCCTGGCCTTTGCCTTTGAGATGCTCTAAACTGTCTTTCCATTTCATTGTTGTTTGCTGACGTGACAGCCAGGGCTGAACACAACGTTAGAAACGCTGCAGTTTGCTGCACGTGGCCCGGAATATCATACAAGTACTAATGTGTTGATTCTGACGTGAACTAAAAGTGTCTCCTCTTGTGTTTACCAGCATAATCTGTAGTGGGCTCACGATTTTCACTGCAGCCTGAGCTCTCCGTGTCATTGCCGTTTGTCTGCAAGCTCACACTGGTTTTTAACCATCTCAGCTCCCTACACCGTACCAGTAATGCTGATAACTGCCTTTGTCGTAAACAGACACGTGAGCAGCAGCGACCGAGTCGGCAAACCTTACAGAGGGGTGAAGCCCGTCTTCAGTATTGGTGATGAAGAGGAGTATGACACTGGTGAAGAACCAGTACAGTTGGAAATGTGCCCGTTCGGCTTTTTGTGAAACCAGTTGACGGGATTTTTTATGTTTCCCAGATGAGATCGACAGCTCTTCCATGTCGGACGATGACAGGAAGGAGATCGTAAACATTCAGACCTGGATAAGCAAGCCGGATGTCAAACATCACATCCCATGTAATGAGGTGAAAGAGACGGGTCACATGTTCCCCAGGTGAGCTGCTCAACTTCCTGTTGGTGTGGAATTAGGAAGAAAGCTAACAGGAAGCTCTGACACGTCTTTCAGCTTCTGTTAGACTTGAGGAAGTGGGAAATCTCTTGTCTCTTGAAATCTCGTCTCTATTTCAGTCACTTGCTGATCACAGCGACTCACATGTACTGCCTGAGGGAGATTGCCTCCAGGAAGGGGTTTGCCTACATCCAGTCCAGACAAGCGCTGAGCTCTGTGGTGAAGATCACCTCTAAAAAGAAGCACCCTGAGCTCATCACATTCAAATTTGGGAGCAACAATTCAGCTGGAGTCGAGATTTCTGCAGTTGAGAGGTGCTCATAGATAAACACAAGCAGTATTGGAATTGTTTTTATTTAATGATGTTTTATATTTTCTAAGGAGTTTCTCCCACTGAGAGGTGTCGAGCAGGGGTGGTCGTACTAGTTGTCCCCCATCTTGGTTCCCGTACGTTGGGGTTTACCCCAGTGAATGAGAGGGTAGCCTCCCACTGCCTAAGTGGGGGGGGGGGGGGGGGACGGGTTCTGACTGTGGTCTGTGCTTATGCACCAAACTACAGTTCAGACTACCCACCCTTAGAGGGGGTGCTGGAGAGCGCTCCTTCCGGTGACTCCCTCGTTCTGCTGGGGGACTTTAACGCTCTCGTGGGCACCGACAGTGAGACCTGGAGAGGTGTGGTTGGGAGGAACGGCCCCCCCGATCTGAATTTGAGTGTTTTGTTATTGGACTTCTGTTCCAGTCATGGATTGTCCATAATGAACACCATGTTCAGACATAAAGGTGTCCATATGTGCTCTTGGCACCAGGATACCTTCGGCCGCAGCTCGATGATCGACTTTGTTGTTGTTTCTTCTGACCTGCGGCCGCATGTCTTGGACACTCGGGTGAAGAGAGGGGCGGAGCTGTCAGCTGACCACTACCTGGTGGTGAGTTGGCTCAGATGGTGGGGGAGGATGCCGGTCAGACCAGGCAGGCCCAAACGTATCGCGAGGGTCTGCTGGGAATGTCTGGCAGAGTCTCCAGAAGGACCTTTAATTCCCACCTCCGACAGAACTTCCAAAATGTTCTGGGGGGAGGCGGGGGACAATGAGTCCGAATGGGCCCTGTTCCATGCCTCCATTGTTGAGACGGCCGACCGGAGCTGTGGCTGCAGGGTCGTTGGTGCCTGTCATGGCGGCAACCCCCGAACCCGCCGGTGGACATCGATGGTTAGGGATGCTGTCAAGCTGAAGAAAGAGTCCTATCGGGCCTTTTTTGCCAGTGGGACTCCAGAGGCAGCTGATTGGTGAGACCATGGAGCAAGACTTCCGCACGGCTTCGAGGAGCTTCTGGTCCACCGTCCGGCGCCTTGGGAGGGGATAGCTGTGCGCTACCAACACTATTTATAGTAGGGACGGTGTGCTGCTGACCTCTACTCAAGACGATGTGGATCGGTGAGCGGAATACTTTAAAGACCTCCTCAATTCCACCGACATGTCTTCCATTGAGGAAGCAGAGTCCGAGGACTTTGGGTTGGACTTTCTAATCTCTGGGGCTGAGGTCACTAAGGTTGCCAATAAACTTCTTGGTGGAAAGGCTCTGGGGGTGGATGAGATCCGCCCGGAGTTCCTTAAGGCTCTGGGTGTCGTAGGGCTGTTTTGGGTGATGCGGCTCTGCAGTATCACACGGACATCGGCAACAGTTTCACTGGAATGGCAGACTGGGGTGGTGGTCCCCCTACCGCAGAGTGAGTTCCAACTACAGGGGGATCACACACCTGAGCCTCCCTAGTAAGGTCTATTCAGGGTTCTGGAGAGGAGGGTCCGTCGGATTGTTGAACCTCATATTCAGGAGGAGCAATGTGGTTTTGCAGGTTCGAGCCCCGCTCAGTTTGTCGCTGTCGTTGAGTCCTTGGGCAAGACACTTAACCCCCCTTGCCTGCTGGTGGTGGTCGAAGAGACCGATGGTGCCAGAGCTCGGCAGCTTTGCCTCTGTCAGTGCACCCCAGCTGCAGCTGTGGCTACATCGTAGCTCATCCCCACCAGCGTGTGAATGGGTGAATGACTGATTGTGTTGTAAAGCGCCTTGGGGGGTTCCAGGGCTCCAGAAGGAGCTATATCAAATACAGGCCATTTACCATTTACCATTTCTGTTTTGGTGGCCTGAGGATCAGGTCTCTGCTTTTTGCAGATGATGTGGTCCTGTTGGCTTCATCAGAACGTGATCTTCAGCTTTCGCTGGAGCGGTTCGCGGCAGAGTGTGAAGCAGCTGGGATGAGAATCAGCTCCTCTAAATCTGAGACCACGGTCTTGAGTCAGAAAAGGGTAGAATGCCTTCTCCGGGTCAGGGATGAGATCCTGCCCCAAGTGGAGGAGTTTAAGTATCTCGGGGTCTTGTTCACGAGTGAGGGAAAGCTGGAGCGTGAGATCGATAGGTGGATTGGTGCTGAATCTGCAGTGATGCGGGCGTTGTACCGGTCTGTCGTGGTGAAGAGAGAGCTGAGTCAGAAGGCGAAGCTCTCGATTTACCGGTGGATCTACGTTCCTACCCTCACCTATGGTCACGAGCTTTGGGTAGAGACCGAAAGAACGAGATCACGGATACAAGCGGCCAAAATGAGTTTTCTCCGCAGAGTGGCTGGCCTCTCCCTTAGAGATAGGGTGAGAAGCTCGGTCATCCGGGAGGGGCTCGGAGTAGACCTGCTGCTCCTTTATATTGAGAGGAGCCAGTTGTGTCTCAGGCATCTGATTACGATGCCTCCTGGTCGCCTCCCTGGTGAGATGTTCTGGGCACGTCCAACCAGAAGGAGACCTAAAGGAAGACCCAGAACACGGTGGAGGGACCATGTCTCTGCTGGGATTCCACCAGCGGAGCTGGCCCAAGTGTCTGTGGAGAGGGAATTCTGGGCCTCTCTGCTTAGGCTGCTGCCCCTGCGACCCAACTTCAGATAAGCGGAAGAAAATGGACGGATGGATAAAACTCTATCGTTCATGTCAGGTAAAAACACCTTTCTGTCTCTTTTCAGAACTAACACAATCTTTTGTTTCCTCTCAGGTATCTAATACCCAACGCAGGCGACGCCACAAAGGTCATCAAGCAGCAGATCATGAAAGTTCTGGACGCTCTGGAGAGTTCATAAATGGAGATCAGAGTCTAGTGACGTCTCCTCCTAATCTTCTCCTCCTCTTGCTCTCCCTGTGGGAGGTGTTCCACCTGTACAGATCCCAGTGCATAGTTGACTGTGACACCCCGTGTGTCTGTCTTTGGGACCTTTGGCCACACAGCCAATCACAGACGCACGCGTTGGACAGGCTGTGTGTGTCCAAACATCCAGGTGCTCCACTGTCATACGCCCACTACCTTTACTAATGTAACATACCAGTTATTGTGTGCGTGTTTGTATTCTTCCTTATTACAAGTAAACCGTGGGATTGCACAGCAGTTTGGCTCTGATTTCCCCCTCCGGCCTTAACGTAGCAGACGGGACTACTAGTGGAAGTACAGCGTTTCTGAAACCCGTACATGACTGACCATTTCTTTTGACACGAGCATCTTCTATCAGGCTAACCTGTTTGTTGTGAACAGTATTGCATTTTTCTTGATGTATTGCAAAGATTTGACGTTCATCATTCCGATCAAGAAGCAGGTGTGCGTCGCCTAAGCTCAGACCTGAAGATGCGGTCCTGGCACACAGGACACTTTTCTACTATGAACTTTTACTTTTGTTTTTGATAGCTTTCGTTTTCAATGGTAGCCTTAAAGATCTAGGGTGTTTAAAATGTAATAAACTGTTTAAACAGATTATCAGCACAGACCTCTGTAATGTCTTTAGGAATGCATTTAACTGATCTGGCTTGTAAACCAGCTGATGGTTTAGCGTGCCCCTCCCTTCTGCAGTAACACGAGCCGTTCAGTGTTCTTCCTGGCTTTTAGAAACCGTCAAAAATGGACCTCCTCACACAGTTTGTAGCGTTCAGAAGACCTCCACAGCTCCTCTGGAATATATTTGAATCACACCGGGGGTTTGGTGGATGTGTTCATTAAAAGCCCGAGAAGTCGAGTATGTGTTCCAACTTATTTATTTAGTTTGCTAACCGGTCAGATTAAATGTGCTCGACACCGTTGGCTTTGTTTAGAAAAACTAAAGAATGTTGTAAAGAGCATTGTGCTTTCCTTTTGAAAAGCACACATTTGAACAGATTGTGTAAACCCGTTTAAAGGAGAATTTCTGTTTTCACATAAGTCTTTATTTTCAGCTGCTTCGGTGGAAATTGGTCCGTTTTAGTTTGATTGCCACTCTTGCCTTTGGCCTCATGCCTGTGGAATCATCTTTGGCCCCCGCAGTGGCAACAAATGGTAAACCGCTGCTCCTCCTCCAGAGCTCCTCACTTTGTTTTTGCATTTTTATCCATTTGCGTTAATGGTTCTACTTGTGCTGGAAGTCTGGCTGTGAAGTGTCAAACTTCTGCATTTGGACCTTTTGGTCGTCTGAGCATTAATTGCTCTGTAAGGCGGGTTAAAGAAACAACAGAAGTGAAGTATTGGAACTAGATCTTTTCTCACTCCAGCTTTTCTGAGCATTCCTTTGTCGCTCATGCATCGCGTTGTAAATTTGTGATATTTTCTCAATATTGTTCTTGACTGGCTCATCCTTGACTGTAAGTCTTTATGTTACCCTGTATAACATTACTGGCAGAGGATGTCAACCACTATTTGAAAATGCAACCGTGTAATTTGCACCTTACTGTATTGCTATTATTTTCTAAATGTTTCTGTTTGTAATAAATGGAAATTATTGGACAGCATTTGTGGACAGTTAAGTTTTTCATTTGTTGTAAAATGTGTGTATTTGCTTATTTTAGAACTGTAGCGAGAGATGGACACACACACACACATGCACGCACGCACGCAGAGAGGTTTCAGTGTTCATCTTCCCAGTGGCTGGCATCAGATAAAAGTTTGTCATTAGTTTTCAGTTTTGTATTAAGTCGTATACACAGACTTACAGAGATGGGACAAATTAGGTGATGAGACGTTCTCTACAGTGGCTGCTAATGTAGATTTAATGTTTTTTAAATATATTTGACAGTTGGCCGTACAATGAACCAATCGGATCAGACAAAATCTGATTGGCTGCTAAACAACCACCTGCTGGTTCCGGTTCACTTCACATTAAAAGAGCTGCACTTTATTCCAGTAGAAGAAAATGTTGATAGACTTTCACTTTTGTGACTAACATCGCTATTTTGTTTATAACGCGTGTGTCGTTGGATGTATTAGCGGTAAAATAAAAATACAAGTTTTATCAGAAACACTGAAATGACCGAACTGTTGTACTGAAAATCTACCTGTCACCCGGAAGTACTTTACCTGCTGTTTTTGTTTGGAGCTGACCGCGGCGCGCGGACGCTACAGCGTCACCGTGCGTCTGTGGGCGGCAGGATGAGTTTACGGAGGCAAGCATGAGTACTGCAGCTAAAGTCATGTCGAGTACGTGTGAAAACACTCCGTTCAAACGTTAATGGTGGCGCTAGCTCGAGCTGCTAACAGGTCGGTGGTGTTTTGTGTGGCAGAGTTCCGTCTGGCTGTGGTCCAGCTGCAGGTGACCCGCGTCAAGGCGGACAACCTGAGTCGGGCCCGGAGGCTGGTGAAGGAGGCGGCGGACGAGGGTAGCAAGGTGGTGCTGCTGCCGGTGAGCCAGCCTCACGTTGGAGGCCAAGTTATTTATGAAATGTTATTGAATAGTTCATTAGAACACTCGGTCCACCTGTTCCCTGCTAACTCGGTCATTTTATTGGATAACATTAATGTTTCTCTAACCCGGGGTAGTGGAGTGAAGTATGCTCCGTCACAGTGCTGTCAAAGGTCATTCAGTGTAGAATCTCCGTTCTATTCATTAGGTTAACAAATGGGCCATTCCCATCAGTACCGGGTCGGCCCAGGCCGGGTAGCCCCAGTCGGCCCCAGCCTGGCCCGGTTGATTCCACACATCCTTGCCTTAAGCCCATGTGGGCTGATTCTACCCACCAATCAAGCCCCATTCCCACCTGTACCGGGTCGGCCCGGGCCGGGTAGCCCCAGTCGGCCCCAGCCTGGCCCGGTTGATTCCACACATCCTTGCCTTAAGCCCATGTGGGCTGATTCTACCCACCAATCAGAGGCTTGCTCTAATGGAAGGTGTGAATTTGCTGTCAGCAGTGGGTGTGTTGGCCCTGGTCGGCCTGAAGCAGACCCCCTCCAGAAGAGGGCTGAGAATGAGCCTTGGTTGGCCCGGAACAATACCAGGCCACCCAGATATGTAAACAACCTACGCTACCCGGCCCGGGCCGACCCGGTACAGGTGGGAATGGCCCAATAGCTCCACTCCACGAGAAGGGTAGGTTAGTCATGTCATGTGTTGTACCAGACCTGTTCCTTATTAAATATTTAACATGGACTTGGATTTGCAACGTTTAAATATGAACATTACTGTAGTGGAACAGCCAGACATCCTTACGTTGTTTGCCCAGAAATTGTGCTGCACACTTAGTTAACTAACTCTGGTCTCCATAGTCTAAAGGTGTACAAACTTCTCATGAACTAAATTATCTGATGAACTCAAATCTGAATTCAGATGTTCAGCCTTCTGTGCTGCTGATAAGTCCTCATAATGATGACAGAAATGGTCCACAGAAGCTCAGTCCCATCTGGGGTCTTCTCACCTGCCTCTGAATCAGGAATGCTTCAACTCTCCGTATGGGACCAGCTTCTTCCCCACATATGCGGAGAGAATCCCAGGAGAATCCACCCAGATGCTGTCGGAGGCAGCAAAGGAGAGTGGCGTGTACCTAGTGGGAGGTAGGGAAGCATCTGTGGCTATGATGACCCAAAATCACACCTGCTTTTAGAACCGATGAATGAGTTAATTTACAGCTTTTACTGTGAAAGTCACATTGACTTATACGGTTGTGGTTTTTCACAAATTTGTTGTTGAAATTAATGTTTATTGATTGTTTAAATCTTCATTCAAAATCATTTTCCTTGTCTGAAATTTCACGTTTTACATAAAAACTGCAGGGTGGCTGGGCTATCCCTTAGAGATAGGGTGAAAAGCTCAGGCATCCGGGAGGGGCTTGGAGTAGACCCGCTGCTCCTCCACATCGAGAGGAGTCGTTTGAGGTGGCTCAGGCAACTGGTTAGGGACGTCTCCCTGGTGAGGTTTTCCGGGCACGTTTAACTGGGAGGAGAACTAAAGGAAGACCCGGGACAAACTGGAGGGACGATGCCTCTTGCCTGACATGGAAAACCTTAAGATTCCTCAGAGGAGCCGGCCCAAGTGGCTGAGGAGAGGGATGTCTGGGCCTCCCTGCTTAGGCTGCTGACCCCATGACCCGACTCCGGATAAGCCGCCGTAAATGGACGGGTGGACATAAAAACCCAAATATAACATCATGCAACTTAAAAGGCTTCAGCCATAAGGTCTTCATGCTGCAAATACAGAATACACACCCCCTGAATACTTTAGGGAAAACATGTAAACATTCTCCGTGGACCATTAAAACATTTTTGACCAAAGGTAGCTTAGCTTAGACCTCGTTTGTTTATCATTTTCCTACAGGATCCATTCCTGAGGAGGATGGTGGGAAGCTGTATAACAGCTGTGTCGTGTTCGGCCCCGATGGAGGAATGATTCTCAAACACAGGAAGGTGTGTTGCTCTCACACGGCGGCTAACATCTCAGGTGGAGCTACATCAGAATCCCCTAAACCATTTATTTTTGTTTAAGATTCACCTGTTTGACATCAACATTCCAGGAAAAATCTGCTTCCAGGAATCTGAGACGCTTAGTCCTGGCAACAGTCTGTCCATGTTTGACACACGTAAGGGACACTTTGAGTCTCCTCTTTTGTGTTTCCTGCAGTGAGGACACATGTCCTGACTACTTTGTCTTCCTTCCAGCATACTGTAAAGTGGGTGTGGGGATCTGCTACGACATGAGGTTTGCAGAGCTCGCTCAGCTCTACAGCCGGAGCGGTGAGCAGCAGAACAGAGTCTAGGATGGGGGTTGTTGTGCTGTTGGGGACAGATGATCAGCATGTCCTTCTGTCCTCAGGCTGCCAGCTGCTGGTTTATCCCGGAGCCTTCAACATGACGACGGGTCCGGCCCACTGGGAGCTCCTGCAGAGGGCCAGGTGAGCGTTCTTGTCACGTTTATAAGAAATAAAGAAAATGATCTTTTATAAAGCGCCTCTCAAGATAAAAAGCTCGAGGCGCTTCACAAGAACAAAAAATTAAAAATATTTTTTAAAAAATCTTCAAAAAGTGATTAAAAATATGATTAAAATTAGAAGAAAAAATAATATATGAAAAAAGACGTGATTAAAAAATGTAAGGGAAGGGGAAGAGAAAATGAAAGGAAACCAGTGGATCCTGAGGAAGGTGGAATAGGTGGGGAGAGCAGAATAAAGAGAGAGAGGTGAAGAAGGTCATACAAAAGCCAGCTTGAACAAGTGAGTCTTCAGCTGCTTTTTAAAGGAGACCACTGAGTCCACTGATCTCAGGCTCAGCGGAGAGAGGTCCAGAGTCTGGGGGCCACAGCAGCAGATGATCTGTCACCTTTGACCTTTAGCCTGGTGCTGCACAACCAGTAGGCTTTGATCACTGGACCTCAGGGACCTGCTGGGGGTGTAGGGACTAAGAAGATCACCAATGTAAGATGGTGCTTGTCCATGTAAGGCCCTATAGACCAGAACCAGGATCTAGAAATGAACCCTGAAGTTGACTGGCAGCCAGTGAAGCTGGAGGAGAAGCGGGGTGATGTGGGTGTGTTTGGAGGACTTGGTCAGAAGCCGAGCACAGGCGTTCTGAACCACCTGTAGACGGTTCAGGGAGGTTCTGCTCAGACACGTGAAAAGAGAGTTACAGTAGTCTAAGCGTGAGGAGATGAAGGTGTGGAGAACTGTCTCAAGTTCAGAGCGGGACAGAATGGGACTCAGCTTAGCAACGTTCCTGAGATGGAAGAAGGAAGAGCCAACAAGAGAACTGACATGAGAATCCAGGGTGAGAGCTGGGTCAAAGGTCACGCCAAGATTCCTGACAGAAGGTTTGGTGTGGTAAGCAAGCTGACCAAGAGAGTCTCTGACTTTGGGAACCAGCTTGTCTGGGGCACAGATGAGGATCTCAGTCTGATCTTCATCCAGCTGAAGAGAGAAGTGATGGAGAAAGCGAAGCTTTCCAAACGACTGAGCCAGTATGAAGCAAATGTTTCAGTGTTGGGAACCATTTGAACCCAATAAAACGAGTGACATCTGCTGGCCAGACGTCAACTTGGCATCAGCATGGAACACAAAAGGCAATATATGTGTCAATAAAATTATGTCCAAACCTGTCCGTTTGTGTCTTTTAACATATTAATGCAGTCGTGTTCCAGAGTGACCGTCCCAGCAGAAGAACTGTACAGCAGCAAACATCAACTCAGGATGGGTCAGAGACGATGGACTTCTATGGTCCGATGCTTCATTCTAATCATGGAGATGACTAATGCAGATGCTTTTTTTATCCTTACAGCTCAGCTGATTCGCTTTCAGCCCATTGTGTAATCGACCACAGCGCATGCCGGGATGCTGGTTACTGTCATAGATTTAAAAAAATACATATTTATTTACAACTTTCAAACAACCAACCGAACAATTATTTGAAATAAATGTACAGTTGTTGCTGTTTTGTCTAAAAGTTTCAAAGCATCAATTAATCGTCCTGAAATCATTGTAGTTGTCACCTTTTTAACACTCTGAGTTTGCAGGTATGTTTAACAGTCACTGTTATTACTGAAGAAGCAGTAATTAAAGGTATGGTTCACTAAAAAAACATTTTTAATTATTATTTCTGATTATAATCAGTCACTCATGAAAATAGTCTCCTACACCTATCTCCTGCATTAGCTTCTGATAGAAAATAGACGATAAAACTAGGATCTGAAAAGCCTGACAGATCTACGTCACACTGTCATCTAACATTCATGGACTCACCCATCTTGACTCGATGGGGAAGGCTGTTGTTGGTTTAGTGTTCAGGAAACAGCACCTGTAGTTCCTGAAACTGGTGCACCAGAGCTTTGTTTTCCCATAGTATGGCTTACAAGGCATTCATTCTCACTAGAGAGCACTGCAAATGCATCTATTAACAAGTGTTCCAGAACAGATAACAACTTGATTGTGATTGTCTGTGATTTATTATTTGTTCCTCTGTTTGTGTCCTGGATGCAGAGCTCTTGATAACCAGGTGTTTGTGGCCACAGCCTCACCTGCCAGAGATGAAACTGCGTCCTACGTGGCCTGGGGTCACAGCACCGTAGTTAACCCTTGGTAAGAAATGAGGCCCATGATCAGAGGACAGAACATTCATGTTAAACATGAGGGGTGTTTATCCAGTTCAGGGCTGTGTAATGTTCAAGGGTTTATAAATTATACTCTTAATGGGGTCTAGTAGTTGTTTAAGTCATTTCCTACACAAACTTTGTGAGTTATAAAGAAGAACGTGACAGGAAAATGTGCACATTTGCTGTAAGGAGGCCTCTTGATGGTTCCCCAGATCAATGCTGCGGTTAAATCTCGTCTCTTCCACCTGCACCGTTTGGTTCGGCTCAAACCGATGCTAAAGCGGCCGCACCTGGACTCTGTCAGTCACGCTTCCCGCGTGGATTACACTAACTCTGTCGTCTTTGATGTCCATGCCTCGGCTTTGAGTAGACTGTAGGTGGTCCAGTGCAGCCAGGTTCCTGACCAATACAAGCAGGCGTAACCACTGGTTACCAGTAAATTTCCGTGTCAAGTTCAAGATCCAGACAACTGCCTCTACCAGCCACATGATCAACAGCTAAAACGTGTTTTAATAATTTAGTTTTATGTGTAAATAAAATGAATAACACTAAAGTTGCTTATTATTCATAGACAAAGACCATCCCCCTATCTACGCAGGAAGACTTCAATAACTGTCATAGAACTGTTTAGTTCCATCAGTAAGTCCTTTTCTATGCCATGGAGACCAAGGCTGAGTCGTCTCTGAGACAAACAAGCTAGCGACGGAGCTGGGCGGCCTCTCGTAATGATGTCCAGTTTCTCTGGAAAACTCCATCTTAAAAATTGAACTGAAAGAAGCCCTGCAGACCAAATCCCATGTTTTCTTCTCCATTAGCCTTCCACCGAGTTTGCTATCAGTTGACAAGTGATGATGATGTTGGTGAGCGGCTGGTGACGAGTTTTACTCATAATACACTTGGAGACGATTTTTGAGATCCACTAGTAAATTAGCAGGTCATGAAACTACACGTGAGAGTAAAAACAAAACCAGTCATGCAGCTCAACATTTTATTCAATTATTTACACCTACTATGCCGCTAAAGTCAGTCGGTCTTGTAAAGTTTTTAGCAACCACGGCTCTGTAATGTTAGATAAATAGTATGTTTGGTTAAGTAAATTGCTTTGAGAGCTATTTATATTATATATACTATATATATTCGAAGGATCTTTCATGGCGGTTAAAACGAAGAGTCGGAGTACCCGGCCCGGAGGGTTACCGGGGTCCCACCCTGGAGCCAGGCCTGGGGTTGGGGCCCGTGAGCGAGCGCCTGGTGGCCGGGCTTTCGCCCATGGGGCCCGGCCGGGCCCAGCCCGAACCGGATACATGGGCTCGTCCAACTGTGGACCCACCACCCGCAGGAGGAACATGAAGGGTCCGGTGCAATGCAAATCGGGTGGCAGACCAAGGCGGGAGCCTTGGCGGTCCAATCCCCGGACAAGAAAACTAGTTTTTGGGACATGGAACGTCACCTCGCTGGCGGGGAAGGAGCCGGAGCTTGTGGCAGAGGTTGAGCGGTACCGGCTAGATATAGTCGGACTCACCTCGACACATTGCATTGGCTCTGGAACCCGAGACCTGGAGAGGGGTTGGACACTCTACTTTGCTGGAGTTGCTCCGGGTGAGAGGCGGAGGGCTGGGGTTGGCTTTTTGTTAGCCCCGAGACTCTCTGCCTGTGTGTTGGGGTTTACCCCGGGGGACAAGAGGGTAGCTTCCTTGCGCCTTCGGGTCGGGGAACGGGTCCTGACTGTTGTTTGTGCTTATGGGCCAAATATCAGTTCAGAGTACCCACCCTTTTTGGAGTCCCTGGGACGAGTGCTAGATAGTGCTCCATCAGGGGACTCCATTGTCCTGCTGGGGGACTTCAATGCTCACGTGGGCAATGACAGCTTGACCTGGAGGGGTGTGATTGGGGGGAACGGCCCACCTAATCTGAACTCGAGCGGTGTTTTGTTATTGGACTTCTGTGCAAGCCGCAGTTTGGCCATAACGAACACCATGTTCGAACATAAGGATGCCCACCGGTACACTTGGTACCAGGGCAGCCTAGGTCACAGGTCGATGATAGATTTTGTAGTCGTATCATCTGACCTGCGGCCGTATGTTTTGGACACCCGAGTGAAGAGAGGGGCGGAGCTGTCAACTGATCACCACCTGGTGGTGAGTTGGATCAGATGGCAAGGGAACATGCCGCGTAGACCTGGCAGACCCAAACGCATAGTGAGGGTCTGCTGGGAACGCCTGGCAGAAGAACCTGTCAAGACGGTCTTCAACTCCCCCCTCCGGCAGAGCTTTGACCACGTCCCGAGAGCAGTGGGGGACATTGAGTCCGAGTGGGCCTTGTTCCACTCTGCGATTGTCGAGGCGGCTGTTGCTAGCTGTGGTCGTAAGGTGGCCAGTGCCAGTCGTGGTGGCAACCCCCGTACCCGCTGGTGGACACCAGAGGTTCGGGGAGCCGTCAGGCTGAAGAAGGAGGCCTACAGGGCGTGGCTGGTCTGTGGGTCTCCGGAGGCAGCAGACAGGTACCGGATAGCCAAGCGGGGTGCAGCAGTGGCAGTTGCCGAGGCAAAATCTCGGGCGTGGGAGGAGTTTGGTGAGGCCATGGAGAAAGACTATCGATCGGCTCCAAAGAGGTTCTGGCAAACTGTCCGGCGCCTCAGGAGAGGAAGGCAGCAACTCGCTCACACTGTTTACAGTGGGGATGGGGAGCTGCTGACGTCAACTGAGGCTATAGTCGGATGGTGGAAGGAATACTTTGAGGAGCTCCTCAATCCCACCAATGCGCATTCCGAGGAGGAACCAGAGCTGGGAGGCCTGGGGATGGACTGTCCGATCTCGGGGGCAGAAGTTGCTGAGGTAGTCAAACAACTACACAGCGGCGGAGCCCCGGGGGCGGATGAGGTTCGTCCTGGGTATCTCAAGGCTATGGATGTTGTAGGGCTGTCATGGTTGACACGTCTCTACAACATTGCGTGGTCATCGGGGGCAGTTCCTAGGGAGTGGCAGACCGGGGTGGTGGTCCCCATCTTTAAGAAGGGTGACCTGAGGGTGTGTTCCAACTATAGGGGGATCACACTCCTCAGCCTCCCTGGAAAGGTCTACTCCAAGGTACTGGAGAGGAGGGTCCGATCGATAGTTGAATCTCAGATAGAGGAGGAGCAATGTGGTTTTCGTCCTGGCCGTGGAACTGTGGACCAGCTCTATACCCTTGCAAGGGTGATGGAGGGGGCATGGGAGTTTGCCCAACCAATCCACATGTGCTTTGTGGATTTGGAGAAGGCTTATGACCGTGTCCCCAGGGGCACCCTGTGGGGGACGCTCCAGGAGTATGGGGTGGGTGGCTTTCTGTTAAGGGCCATTCAGTCCCTTTACCAGAGGAGCGTGAGTTTGGTCCGCATAGCCGTTAGTAAGTCGGACCTGTTCCCAGTGAGGGTTGGACTCCGCCAGGGCTGCCCTTTGTCACCGGTTCTATTCATAACCTTTATGGACAGAATTTCTAGGCGCAGCCGTGGTGTGGAGTGTGTCGAGTTTGGTGGCAGGAGAATCTCGTCTCTGCTTTTTGCGGATGATGTGGTCCTCCTAGCTTCATCCAGCTCTGACCTTCAGCTCTTGCTGAGTAGGTTCGCGGCCGAATGTGAAGCGGCTGGGATGAGGATCAGCACCTCCAAATCTGAGACCATGGTTCTCGACCGGAAAAGGGTGGCTTGCCACCTCCGGGTCGGGGGAGAGGTCCTACCTCAAGTGGAGGAGTTTAAGTATCTCGGGGTCTTGTTCACGAGTGAGGGTAGGAGGGATCGGGAGATCGACAGGCGGATTGGTTCGGCGTCTGCAGTGATGCGGACGCTGAGCCGATCTGTCGTGGGGAAGAGGGAGCTGAGCCAGAAAGCCAGGCTCTCGATTAACCGGTCGATCTACGTCCCAATCCTCACCTATGGTCATGAGCTTTGGGTAATGACCGAAAGAACGAGATCGCGGATACAAGCGGCCGAAATGAGTTTCCTCCGTAGGGTGGCCGGGCTCAGCCTTAGAGATAGGGTGAGGAGCTCGGACATTCGGGAGGGACTCGGAGTAGAACCGCTGCTCCTCCGGATCGAAAGGAGCCAGTTGAGGTGGTTTGGGCATCTGGTCAGGATGCCTCCTGGACGCCTCCCCGGGGAGGTGTTTCGGGCATGTCCTGCCGGCAGAAGGCCCCCGGGTCGACCCAGGACACGTTGGAGAGGTTACATCTCCAATCTGGTCCGGGAACGCCTTGGGGTCCTGCCGGAGGAGCTGGTGGACAAGGCCGGGGAGAGGACGGCCTGGAGCTCCCTAATTGGGATGCTGCCCCCGCGACCCGGACCCGGATAAGCGGAGGAAGACGAAGACGAATACTATATATATATATATATATATGTATATGTACGGTATGTATGTATATACTCTGTCTTGTATGGTAAATGACCTGTATTTGATATAGCGCCTTATAGAGTCCTGGAACCCCTCAAGGCGCTTTACAACACAATCAGTCATTCACCCATTCACACACACATTCACACCCGGATGGTGATGAGCTACGATGTAGCCACAGCTGCCCTGGGGCGCACTGACAGAGGCGAGGCTGCCGAGCACTGGCACCACCGGTCCCTCCAACCACCACCAGCAGGCAAGGTGGGTTAAGTGTCTTGCCCAAGGACACAACGGCAGTGACAGACTGAGCGGGGCTCGAACCTGCAACCTTCCGATTACGGGGCGAGCACTTAACTCCTGTGCCACCGTCGTGCAAATGGTGATGACCTCATCCAGTAAACATGCTAAGCATATATCATTAAACACAGATCGATGAACATTTCATTGTATATAATTATAAAATCTTTCTTCTTTTGTCTGGGAATGAAGGAGTTCATTTAAAAGAGTTCCTCTGTGAAGGACCTTGGAGGAGAGAATACTATTGTTCATCTTTTATTGTCTCTCAGAGCTGCAGTCCAGTTGGTGTGAGGAAGGCAGTCTCTGATTAAAGGGACTACGTGCAGACTTCAAGTCTCCTGTGAGGGGGAAATATTGTAGGTTGCGTCATCGCCAGGTTAAGTTGACCTGGCTGTAGATCTTGACCTGTGGGATCCCAAAATCAGGCCTTTTCGTGACGTTACAGCTCAACCCTGACTGGGGCAACCTATACAAGCCCCTAAATAAAGCTGCATGAGAGTCATTATTAAGAATGGAGCTAATTCTGAATTCTCCTCTGAACACAAGTTATGGAAGTGCTTGTCTTCTCCAGCATCCTTCGTTTGTGTTAGAGGCGCCGTTTCCTCTCATCCGCCTCTTTGCAGCACACACACCTGCCTCCCAGGGCCCCCCTGAAGCTTCGGCCCTGGTCCCTTCCTTGTTTGAAGTCGGCTTTAAATACCTACTTTTATGACTGTTGATGTTTTCTAGTCTGTTGTGTTTTTATTGTTGCTTCTGTTATTTGTTTTACTTACTGTGTTTTATCGTTGTGCATGTACAGCACTCTGATCAGTTTTCATGCTGTTTTTAAATTAAACTTTAGAAATAAATGGAAAGTAGTTTATTTTGAAGGCTGCTTGTCATGCAGCTGTCACTTCCAGCATGTTGAATGCCCAGTATGCACACATTACAAGGAGCTGTTAAACTGCCTCCACTGTCCGGTTTAAAATCGCACCAAAATACATATACTTTAGCTCTCGTGTGGAGACACGTTAGCTCTGCATTAGCCTACTATCCAACAGCTGCATGTTATGGTGTCCGAATCACCGCCTGCCGTAAATTGTGCGAGGTAATGGTGTTTTCTTCCAAGAAATAAAGAATACTGAGGTAGAAGAACGTGTTGAGATTAAAGCTAAACTATTGCTGTTGCATCTGAAAACCTCTATCTCAGGATGAATTTAAAAAGTCATATTTGTTGTTTTATAAGGTTAAAAGCTGATCTTTTCACCAGATTCTGGTTTTGTTAAACCCGCGTGATCAAGCCAGATTTCCAGCCACATGATCTGATTGGAGCATCCCTACTTGTTTCTGCTGTGAAGCATTTTAACCTGGGGTCGATGGAAGCCTGCTCCTTTCTGGATCCAGCCCCTAAATTGTTTTTTATATTTTTACAGCTTCTGTTTTTGTGAAGCGCCTCGTGATTTTTATCTTGAGGCGCTATAGAAAAGATCTTTTCTTATCTTTCTTCTAGAGGATGAGGTGGGACTGCAGCTTTTGTCACTTCTACGTTGGCTTTATCTTTTTATTGGCGGGGTTTGGTTTTCACCCACAAACAGAAATAAAAGACACACATTTTTTACTTTTTCACTAAAGCAAAACACAATTACTTCTTGTCCGGCTCTTTGGATTTGAGTTGCGGTCGACTAGAACAGTATTTTCTCCTCAATTAGAGCTTCCAATTCAGGGGAAACCAGTTCCGTCAGGGACAGCTCAAGCACAGCTTCCTTTTTTATTGTTACTTCCTCTGTAGGTACATTTTTGCTGCTGTGTCTGGGACAGGATTTGTTGAGGAGTACCGTCCACTGAACCAGTTTCATTTGCTTCCTCTCCTGTGTCAGCAACTAGGATGAAAAATGAAAAAGTGATGGAAAAACAAGAACTAAATGGTCACCATAATGATGTTATGGCCCTCTCGTTGTAAGATAAGGCCTCTACAACCTGTTTTTAAATAAACTGTTCTGATCTGTTGTTTCAGGGGAGAGGTGATCTCCAAGGCTGGAGCTGAAGAAACAATCATCTTTGCTAACATCGGTAAGTGAAGATTTGTGTGTTTCTAAATAGTTTCATCACACAAGTTTAAAAAGCAGGTCATCAGCCATGAGCCTTGTTATTTACATCTCACACACAACCACAGAATGGAACATTAAATATTAAATTTACTGTAAAACACTCAGAGTTGCACGTTTTGTTCATATCCAGATGTGATTTCTACCAAACCAGGGATTTTCTTAAGCTATAAAGAATTCTACACTTTACATGGATGTCCATATTAATCGAGGGGCTCCTGGAGCTGTTAGGAAGAGCTGAGGAGAGGTCTGCTGCAGGCAGATTAAACATTTAACAGAAACACATCAGCAGAAGAGAGACGGGTGTCTAAAGACGCCTTCTGACTGACTGACTTAAAGCTACACCCGTTCAGATGAAGCATCACCACCAGGGGCGGCGTTAGGCCCGGCTACTTGGGCAGAAGCCCCGGATCTAAATCGTGGAAGTAACATGCAGTACCAAAGTCCAACAGAGAGGGAGCAGCTGGCAGTAGTTTGTATACAGCCTGCCTGAGCCTCCACCACTGAAGAAGAAGCCCTTCAGCAGCCGGCTTCTTCTACACTCTCTGCCTGAAACGCATGAGTGAAGATGGACATAAGGACGTTTTTTAGACCAAAAGTACGGCGACAGAACCCCAGCTTTGATGAGACTGGTGCTGACTCAGGTTTGTGAGTCTTATTAGAAAATCTTTGTTGTGCTGCTGGTTAGCCTAAAGTTAGCTTACTATCAGGTAAAGTTGTTGGAGAAAGAGTGGGAATATTTACTATCATCTCACTAAACACTAACAGGAACTATACTCTGCCCTGAAAATGCTTCATATGTAGCTTCAGATTAAAAATTATGTGGTACAAGACACATATATATATATGTTGACTAGTGCGTGTCACGTGTGTGTGTGTGTGTGTGTGTGTGCACGTGCGTGCGACGCCGTGCGTGCGTGCGTGCTAAGCCCCGGATCTTCTTCAGTCCTAAGTCCGCCCCTGGTCACCACTAAATAATGCGTCAGCGCTGAAGCAAACGCAACAGCAGAGGACAGTTTTCCTGTATTAAAATTGAATAATCAAAACAGTATTTTCATACAACAAATAATAAATGGTCACTATTAACTATCACTATTTAATAAAGTGACGTTATTTCTTATCCTCACATGAAACATTAATGGGGGGTGCTTTTATTTTACACAAAGTCTAGAATATTTTTGGATGAATGTTTTACAGGCAGACCTTCAGCAGTTTTCAGAAAACTTTTTCAATTTTTTATTTACTTTTTAAAATGTATTTTTATTAATCCACCTTTCTTTATTTTAAAAATGTCCTTTATAAAGCTGAATTCAGAAAAAGTATGTCTCTGCTCGTCTCCCCCGACTCCAGACCTGCAACATTTGGCCGATGTGCGGCAGCAGATCCCGATCACGTCCCAGCGCCGGAGCGACCTCTACAGCGTGGCGTCGGTGCAGGCCGGATCTGGCTGAACGCTTCAGCTCATTTCATGTTCCTCAAATAAATAAATCAGAGTTTAATGATCATTTTAATTCTCATCCAGGAGGTTTGGGATTGAGTTAATCGTTGACATGTTTGCTTTAGTGTTGATGGTGTGATCTCATCTGATGATTGACCTGATGCGTTATCAGAAGAGAAGCAGTGGTTGGAGGAGTTTTAGCACCAACCTCCACCAGGGAGTTCCCATCATGCATTGCAGCGATGTATCTCTCTCCTCTGTAATCTTTAGTCTTGTTAGCGGTTGAGTTTATGGTTGCATCAGACTGTTCAGCTGCAGTTTACCCAGTCTGGACTTCAACATTTGGTGCTAATTTAGATTATTACTCCTGTCAGGAGCTTTGACTCACCTGGCTGTCCACCGATGGAGGACAGCCCCCCACCGAGACCGTATAACACCAGACAGCAGACCTGCACTGCAGTCGGTTGTTTTAAGTGTCACACAAAAACAGTCTCAGACCATCAAATCAAACATACTTTAAACATCTTGTTTATGAACTGTTGGAAAACCGATTCTTGCAGCTTTTATAATCTCAGAAATACAGTAAAAATGCAGCTTTGTGGACATTGTGTGGGTTTTCTTTCAGGTATAATTGTAGATTGTAATTTTAATTTAAACCTCTTTTAAATTCTTATATTATTTAATAGAAGTAACTGTTTGTGTATGATAAAACAAAAAAAAGCACCAGATGTGTCATTATTTGTTATTCAATCCTAAACCCATCTCAGTGGTCTCAGACAAGTAAACCAGTAAATAACATATACACTGATCAGCCATAATATTAGGACCACCCTTTTGAGTATGTCCCTCCTCTGCCCCCGTAGACATTACGAGAACATGAGGAACTTTGGAGACTTGGTGGAGCTGACTGGAATCAGGTGAACTCCTCGGTCTGGTCCGCTGCTTTAGGGGCTGCAGCTGAACAGTCATGTGACTGCCAAATCCCAACAGAACCAATGAGTAGTGCTGCTAGATCACAGTGGTCTTAATGTTATGGCTCTTTGGTCCTTGCAGTGTTTAAATCCTAACGCAGGAACAGAATACGCCTGGTGCAGACGAACAGTAACATTTCAGTGCCTTTCAGATTTACTGCATAAAGTAACCGTCAGTTCTCTTTCTGTCAAACATCCGTCTGCTTTGACTCTGTCATGGCTTCAGTCTCCTCCCTGTACCGACGTCCTCTTTTGTATCCTGAAAACAACAAATATTCATTTAGATACAACATTAAGTCTGCAAAGGTCATAAGACATCTAGTATGGGAACTATTGGGTCTTTTTAGGGCTAAACAGAACCCATCCTGCAAACCGATCTAAAGACAGGATTGGACTCGTGTCAGGACATGGAGCAACTTAAATCAGGCCACATGAAACCCCATTTAGGACTCTACTCTAGATATGGTCATTTTTATGGTTCATTTGCAGACTTAAATATGTTCTCTACCCCCAAAAGCTGTATGAAGGCCAGAACTGTGATCTCATATTTAAAATCATCAGAGCCGTTTGTCTATAGAAGCTGTGATCTGCCTACCTCTCTCTTCTTCTCTATGTTCCTGCTTCCTCCTCTTATGTAACCTGTCCAGGTGGATCTGATATGCCATGCCTGCTATCACCATGAGTCCCACCACCACACACAGGGCTGTGCTGAAGACCCACATGCCCTCTGATGCTCGTCTCCCCACTGGACCACCGTTAGGTTTATCTACAACAAGAAGCAGTGATGAGAGTCTTGCTGCTGGGTTCAGACCAAGCAGAAACAATGATGGACTCACACGTGGACCTCAAGGTCTCATTCATGGACAGATTCTCTACGATGCATGTCACGCTGACATCTTTGGGCAAGGAGATGGTCAGCCTGCTTGTGATGTTGTAGAGATGACCATCGGGGAGTGTGTCTGTTTGGGTCCTTACTGAGCCCTCGGGAGGCTCCTGGGTGTTGTCGATGAGCCAGGAGAGTTCAGGCTGAGGGTATCCACCTGCAGAGTGACACTGGAAGGTTGTTTCATCACCGTCTGCTGTGTGTTTCCTCTTCAACAGGGGGTCACTGAAACTGGCTGCAAAAACAAGCATGAGGTTACTTCCTGTTGATGCTTTCCTGGAAACACTGTGTGTGAAACCAACCTGCCACCCTGAGGCACACACTACACAGTTGGACACTTGGATTCTTTCCTGATAAAAAGCAAAGGCTGAAATGTGTCCGGTCATCTCTGGGATGCACAGCTGACAGCTCCAGAGAGAAATCTCCTGTCAGCGCAGCATCAGTGGGGATTGTTGCCGGATCTGTGCTCCATGTCCCCAGGTTCTCATTTGTTTCCCACGCTGTTTTGAACACCACTTTGTCATCTTTCCTCCACTCGATGGAAAAATTCCCAGTGAGCAGCACGGAGGAGACGCAGGGCAGGATCACCGGACGTCCTACTATGCCGAGGACACAGCCTGGTTCTGCACAGACAGGTGGGCATAAATCAGCCCAGCTCCAGAGACACTAGTCTGCATAAGTAGTTAATAATAATAATAATAAATTTTATTTCAAACGCCTTTCAAAGCTCTCAGGGTCACTGTACATGGCAAAATATAAGGAACAGCAATCAATACAAACAAGAAATAAGAGTAGTGCTAAGAGTAATTCCCAAGGGTAGAGTCGGAGCAGTCCAATGGATAATAGACTAAAAAGAGTAGATGGAAGGAGGACAGTTACAATGAGTAAGCCAGGTGGAACATGTGAGTTTTGAGTTGAGACTGGAAGGTTGAGAAGGAGTTTATATTGCAGAGGTCAGGCGGTAGAGCGTTCCAGAGTTTTGGAGCTGAGTGGCTGAAAGCTCTGGCTCCCATAGTACTGAGACGAGTGTGAGGAACCGACAGGGAAGGTGAAGATGATGATCGGAGAGAGCGAGTGGGGGTAACCATGTGGAGGAGATTAGAAAGATATGGGGGAGCGAGATTATGGATGGCTTGAAAGGCATGAAGAAGTATCTTATGTCAATTCTGTATTTGACAGGGAGCCAGTGAAGTTGTTGCAGGACAGGTGATGTGATTAAAAGTGGAGGTCTTATCCGGGCAGCAGAATTTTGGACTAACTGTAACTTGTTGAGTGATTTTAGAGGGAGACCGGAGAGGAGGGCATTACGGTAATCGTAGAGGGAAACTTACCCAAAGCTGCGCACAAACAGAGAGAGCTGAGCAGCAGTCCTGCGCAGCGCCACAGCACCTGCGCCACACGACCTAGAAGGTGCATGATGTGCGCTCATAAGAGCCAGCAATAGTTTGAAATGTTTGACCTTTTGGTCTCTAAAGACCAAAAAACGTATTTTGCTGTCTCGATCCAAAAATACACGAGATGACTGTTCCGCTTCACTTCCTCGTCCTCTGTGGTGCCAAACGCACACTTCTTCACCCAGATTCATCAGGCACGCTGCTTCTCCCTCCACTTAGATCGTCTCAGTGAAAATAAAAAGTGGATAAATGTTCGTATAAATGTTAAAATGAAAACGGGGCTTTTCGGAGCCTTTCAGCTATGATCGTTCAGAAACCTAGTCGATCTGGCAAACCTGCCAGACGACTTTCTTGAGGGTTGACAACACGTGAAACTCCCACACCCACACGCGTGACAACAGCAGAACGCGGAACAAGTGGAATATTAGATCAAGACCGGGAGGATTAGAAAGTTGTCTAACCTTCTATATCGCTGCAATCAAAAATAATATGCTATAAAAAACGATTGTCATAAAAGTATTTTTACTAACACGTCCTGCCAAGGGCGCCCCCAAGGGGTGGCCATGGCCACCCCTAGAAAATTGCTGCCCCCCCAGAAAAAGTCAGTGGTCATATTAATGTTCAGTCAAACCATATATTGATCTTGTTTATTCAAGACATAATTATAAAACAAAATAAAATTATTACAATTAATGAGTAAAGAAATTATATATATATATATGCTGCTCACCATTTAAAAAAGTTTTGTTATTTTTTTAACACAGCAGCAGGTGAATTAACCTAAAAAACACATTTTTAAATTAAAATATGGATAAAATTTTAAATAACTGAAATGTACATTTCTGAAATGTTTGTGTTTGTAAATTTTAAGTTAAATATTTTGGATACCCACTGTTATTTAAAAAAATTAAAAAAAGGCGCAATGCAGTACATCGCCACAGGCTAAATTCTCCCAGCGTTACCACAAGGACCAATTTGGTGTGCCACCCCAAAAATGTCTTTGGCCACATCTGGCCACCCCTGTCAAAATTTTCTGGAGGCGCTTCAGCATCCTGCTTTGAACTGGTGCCAAACTTTTCGGCATGCTCAGAAAAGCACTCTACCTGTGGCGAAGCTCTCACATAAAAAGTCAACAAGCATGTTTTGAGGTGTAAAATCTAAATTTTTGAAAGTGATATTTTTGTATAATTTTTTTAAGAATATATTTGTGGTATTGATCAGAAATTAACCTAAAACGTTAACGATTTTACTGTTTATTATGGTTTTATTTATTACGGTTTTACGATTTTATTATGACATCATTTACTGCAAAACATTTGTTATGAATTTATTGGCATAAGTAGACGGAGCATGAAGTGTGTTTTTACAAGATTATACATTTAGAGAGTTACAGGTACTCTGAATTTATATTTGTTTGGGCATCTTATTACTATAGAGAATTTTAATGGGCATTATTTTTATGTAAACGTTATTTTTTCATAGCATCCTGATGTTATTTTTCGCGTGCGCTGCTTAAAAACTGAATGCAGTTGTTTGTAAATCAAATTCATGCAAATGTGCAAATCAGGCTTTTCCCGTAGAAAGGAAATGACGACATCGAAAAGTATGGGTTAACAGAATCCCTACATTTAGTTTTACAGGAATTTTTTGTTTTTGTTTGTGTAAATTATTGTCCATCTTTAAAAGAAATTTCTTTTGGAAAAAAAATCGAATCCAATATGCCTTTAAGCCCCAAAATATAATAGTAATTTTCTTGAAACTTGTGTTTTAATAATCGTGTTACCTGTAAGGCCATTTCTGGGAGAAATATCCCGCGAATAGCGATTACTTTCCAACTCCAAACATAAAGTCGCGTGTGTCGTAGATTGTTATCTCTTTAGATTTACCGATAAATATTGAATTCATTGAATATTTTATTTGTGACATATTGGTATAGTTTCGAAACATAACCCAGAGACCTGTTGATGAAGGTGGTGGTGGCAAACGCGAGTCTTTCGTTTGTTAGCATTCAAAGAGCAAGAAGCTACATAACAAGCTAGCTCGCTAGCATCTGTAGAAGAGTGGTCTGAAAATCGTGATTATAAGATGCGGTGCCGGTGATGCGTGTAACAGACGTTTCTAGAGAGAAATGATAACAGTGAGAGGGCTTGCGTCATGGCGGTCTCTCCTGCAGCGACCTTGGAGCTGTCACAGAGCAGTGTCGACCTACAGACTCTCACCACCGTCTGCTCAACATCGCTGCCTGGGAAACCCATCCACCATGCAGTCCAGGCTGTTTAACATGTCTGCAAGCTGGCTGAAGAGCAAAGATGACTTCAGCAGCTCATACACAGTAGACGAGGAGGATGAAGATATTCTGGAGGACAGTGAGGTGGAGGAGCTGTTCCAGCAGCAGGTTCCTGCAGGGATTGGACAGGGACAGCACAGGGTGTTCATTGTCCACCCAGATGTCAAGTGGGGCAGCAGGAAGCAGCGCCTGACCACTGGTAATGTTCCAGCATGACCATATGATGACGGGGTCACATTAAAGGGTTTATCATAAATATGAAGCGGTACATTTGCAGCAGAGCTGATGATGGCTGAAGCGGAGGGGCTTGTGCATACCCTGGACAACTGGACAGTGGTGGACAAGATCATCCTCTCCACTAAGACACCAGAGAAGAAGAGGATTTTTGGCAAAGGCAACTTCCAGCTTCTAACAGGTACCACCCACTTGTTTGAAACAGGAGCCCGGTGTGTTTATTTATTACAGTGTTTGTGTTTTCTTGTCTGCAGAGAAAATCAGGGAAACCGTTGGAATCTCTGCTGTGTTTGTGAATGTGGATCGCTTGTCCCCATCATCAGAGGTATGCGTTTTGAAAAGGATTTCTGGCTGTGCTGTGTGGCAGGTTTCATTCACTTGTGTTTTATTTAAACTTCAGAGGGAGTTTGAGGAGGCCTGGGGGATCAAGGTGTTCGACAGATACTCGGTTGTACTCCACATTTTTCGCTGCAACGCCAGAACCAAAGAGGCCAAGTTACAGATCTCACTGGCAGAAATTCCCTTGTTGAGGTAGCCACAAGGTTTCACCTGTTTGAACATTTTTGCTTCGTATCACATTCTTTAAAGGTGCATTATGTAGAAATGAAGTAAAAATGACATCCTGTGGTAAAATTTGGTTACGGCAACCACTTTAAACAACTCTGGAGCCTTTTGCCGGCTGTCGTCAAATTACAATTGTCGGTGCTGCGGTGTTGGCTCACAGGAGACACGACAACCCCACACTCACTGATGGTAAACAGTATTTACGTCCCTCCCTTCCTTTGTTTCATATCCGCTACCAGCTGGATGTGAAATATGTTTCAGTTCAACCTTCCTTCCAAAATGACTGAAACATTAGACTCTTTCAGGATTTTCTCACTGTAAAATTTACACAATATTCTTACAAACTGCACCTTTTATGTTTATGTATTTAGCAGACGCTTTTGTCCAAAGCGACTTACAAGTGATAATCGGCATGTTGCCCTTGAGGCTAACAACAATAGTAACAACAACTTGACATCAATCATGGAGAGGAGGGAACAAGGAGTGGACAGTAGAGAGGGGGGACGGGTGCAGGGAGGGGGCTAGTTTAGAAGATGCTCTCTGAAGAGCAGGGTCTTCAGGAGTTTCTTGAAAATTGAAAAGGAAGCTCCTGTTCTGGTAGTGCTTGGAAGGTCATTCCACATTTGTGGAACGATGCATGAGAAGAGTCTGGATTGTCCTGAGCGTGGTGTAGGCACTGCTAGCCGACCATCCTGTGATGACCGGAGCGGCCGGGCCGAGACGTAAGCCTTTGCAAGAGGATTCAGGTAGATGGGAGCCGTACCATCTCAGACTTTGTATGCTAGTGTTAGCTATTAGAATTTGATGCGTGCTGCTAGCGGTAGCCAGTGGAGCTCAATGAACAGAGGGGTGACGTGTGCTCTTTTTGGCTGGTTGAAGACAAGATGCACCGCTGCGTTCTGGACCATTTGAAGAGGTCTCACAGTACAGGCTGGAAGACCAGTTAGAAGGGCGTTGCAGTAATGGAGGCGGGAGATGACAGTAGATTGCACCAGGAGCTGGGCGGCATGTTGTGTTAGGTATGGTCTGATCTTTCGTATGTTATACAGCGCAAAGCGGCATGAACGAGCAACAGAGGCAACATGATCTTTAAAGGTCAGGTGTTCATCAATCACAACACCCAGATTTCGAACTGCCTTTGAAGGAGCCAGAGATAGGAAGTCATTTTGGATTGAGATATTGTGCTGTATGGATGGTTTTGCTGGGATGACAAGTAGGTCAGTTTTAGAGAGGTTGAGTTGGAGATGGTGGGATTTCATCCATGTTGATATGTCAGAGAGACAGTTTGATATTCGTGCAGAGATAGTGTGGTCGTCCGGTGGAAATGACAGATAGAGCTGGGTGTCGTCTGCATAGCAGTGGTAGGAGAAGCCATGTGATCGAATGATCTCACCCAGTGAGGTGGTGTATATGGCAAAGAGAAGAGGTCCTAGTACAGAGCCCTGGGGGACTCCTGTGGCAAGATGGTGCACGGTAGAGGACTGTCCAAGCCAAGATACACTGAATGATCGTCCTGTGAGGTACGATTCAAACCAGGCGTGTGCTTTCTCTGTGATGCCCATGCTAGAGAGTGTGGACAAAAGGAAGCCATGGCTGACAGTGTCAGATGCTGCCGATAAGTCGAGCAGGATAAGCACTGAGGATTTGGCAGTCGAGCTAGCTTTTAATTATTGCAATGATTACATCAAGCAGCACATATTTCTATTAGGCACATTTCTATTAGGCATATAATTATATTATAGCTGAGAGATAAAATTCCAGGAGAACACTAGGAAATTTATTTAGTTCCGTCATAAAGTTGTGTGAGAAAAAGCAGATGTTCTCTACTGCAAGAAAGTCTTCAAATTGGTAGCAGAAAGGCTAATTTGACACAATTAAAGGCACAAATTTACTACAATGAAACAAAAATTTCCTAATATAATAAATCATAAATTTTCTGCAAGATGTTTGCATGTTATCCCTGTGCAAGCATGGGTTCTCTCTGGGTACTCCAGCTTCCTCTCACAGTCCAGAAACATGACTGTCAGGTTAATCGGTTTCTCTAAATTGTCCTTAGGTGTGAGTGTGTGTGCGCATGGTTGTTTGTCCTGTGTGTCTCTGTGTTGCCCTGCGATGGACTGGCAGCCTGTCCAGGGTGTACCCCGCCTGATTGCTGGGAGACTTCTGGAGATGGGCACCAGCCCCCCACGACCCTGCGTGGATAAGGGGGTATAGGCGATGGATGGTTGGATGCGTTTTCTGGAATAAAAGTTAAACCTTCCTGGATTAAAATCTTAAATTAGCCAGAAAAAATAGCTTTTCAATGAAATTAGGTCGCAAGTGTGTCAGAAAAACAGGCAAAAACTATTTGGGGTTAAAGTTGAATTCAAGTTTTTAGGAAAAACAAGTTTACAACTAGCTACAGGTAACTGAAAGTCAAACCACCCAAGATGATTCTTCTACCTTTGTCTTTCACAAAATTGTACATTTATTTCTTGTTAATTTCTCACTTAAACCCTAAAAAGCATTTGGACATCTTGTGAATTTGTGACTTTATCTCTGAGAATTTCTGGCTTTTTATTTTTTAATTTTTGCAAATACATGATTTAATAATCCCAGTAAAAAGCTGAATATTGTTCTGGTAAATCTGAGACTTGAAACCTGGAAAATTTCCACAAATTTCTTAAATTTCAATATTTGATGACAATGGGTTAATTCATGCAAATATTTGTCTTTTATTCTTGGAAAAGTTTTTTTTATCACAGCTTGGACTTTCCAACATTGGAGATTATCCATATTCTTCCCACAGATTTATAATATTATTCTCAAATATATGATTGTATTCTTTTCATCCACAACAGCCCAATTCAGCAGCTTTAGGCACTTTGATGTTTTTATTTTTTAAATCCCACTTGTATTAACGGCAGATCTCGTTTGAAAAATGAAATGGCAAACTTGGACCAACAGGGTGGTGGATCGAGATACATCGGTGGTTCAGGTAATGCACCGTCCACAGTAGAGGGCGTGTACTGGAGTGTCACCAGCTGTTCTGCTGGTGTGAGATTAGATTAATGTTGCTGATTGGTTCCTACAGGCGAGACGGTGTCAGAGGTGCAGCAGAGGCTGCTGAAGGAGCGGGAGATGAAGATCCGCTCAGCGCTGGAAAAACTTCGCAAAAAGAGGCACCTCTTACGGTCGCAGCGTAAGCACAGGGAGTTCCCTACGGTGTCTGTGTTGGGCTACACTAACTGTGGTGAGTGACTGGAACACGCACCAGTAGGTCCAGTGTAATGGTGATGAAACACATTTTTGTATTGCTTCATTTGGATCTGAGTTGCATCAGTCTGAACTTGTTTCCAGGTAAAACAACTCTGATCAAGGCTCTGACCGGGGACAGCGGTCTGCAGCCCAGGAACCAGCTGTTTGCCACCCTCGATGTGACTGTCCATGCCGGCCAGCTGCCCAGTCACATGACTGTTCTGTATGTGGACACCATCGGCTTCTTGTCCCAGCTGCCCCACCAGCTCATAGACTCCTTTTCTGCCACCCTGGAGGACATTAAACACTCAGTATGGAGTTGAGCTTTTCTTACAAACTTCTTAGATTAGAAGTAGACAAGAAAAAAAAAACAATAAAACCTCAGGATCCCTGGTTTTGTGTCCAAACAGAAGAAGCCTTAATAAATCCAACTGCAGACTGTGTCCAAATCCAGGGGCTGCATCCTTCAGAGAACACATTTTATAGCCAATTATGTTACAGGAAAGTGACAAAGTGGTCTAAATTTGAAGGACACTCAAAACGTGTCCTCGTTTTCCCCGAATTTTGAGGACATGCCTGGTATGTCCTCGTAGGAAAAGGCTATGCCTGGATTGTTTGTGGGCTGAACGGGAGATTTTTGTTCTTTTAAAATGACAGTTTTAAATGTTAGTATATCAATATCTGATCATAAAACATTGGATCTATAAGCGCTTGTGTTGCTGGGCTTTTTTCATTTGCATATTTGTTCTTGAAATGTTTTTTGTCTAAAATGAGAAAAATACTCATGAACAATCTAGTGCGACCGGTTCTGCGTGTATTACCGGTGAGTTTAGTTTTAACTTCTGTTTGGCACATCACAGTCGCTGGGGGCAAGAATGAAAATGAAGACTAGACAATCTGAATTCACAGCTGCTCACTTCAAGAATTAGATGGACCAAACTTACAAGGACTGGGTAGGATGGGTCCACACAAAAATGCTGCCTTTGAGTTTGGACACAGCTCCAGTCTGAGCTAGCAAACCCCTCTCAGCTACATAAAGTTTATACTTCATTTATGTTGTAGATATAGAAAATATGTGTTTGACAATGGAATGTGGAGTGCTTATTGTATTTTTAAAGCATTTTGGACTCCTTTCTCATCTCTCTTGCTTCCAGGATCTCTTGGTTCATGTCCGAGACATCAGTCATCCTGAGACGGTGAATCAGAAGGTGAACGTACTGAGTGTGCTTAAGAACCTGCAGATCCCAGACCAGCTGATGAGTTCTATGATCGAGGTCCACAATAAAATCGACCTGGTCGACAAGTAAGGCTTTCGGCTTTTTGCTAGTGTGGCAAATGGATTGTTTCTGGTTCTGGTTTTGGTAACGTTGGAAATCAGGAGTAAACGTACTCTGAGAGCATGCACACGCCAAGCCGCGACATTGCTGACCTACAGAAAATGATTGTGGTCCCATAATTAAATTCTATTCAGTTTATTTATATAAATCACCAAATCATGACAAGTCGTCTCAAGGACCTTCACACAGTAAACATTCCAACACAGGTCGGGTCATTAAGCCAATCAGTTAAACTTTTCCTATTTAAGGAACCCAACAGGTTGCATCGAGTCACTGACTAGTGTCAGAGTCTTTACAGCGATCCTCATACTAAGCAAGCATGTAGCGATAGTGGAGAGGAAAACTCCCTTTTAACAGGAAGAAACCTCCAGAGGATCCTGGCTCCGTATAAGCAGCCATCCTCCACGACTCACTGGGGATGGAGAAGACAGAACACGCACACACACACACGTGATTTCTTAGTAGATCTTCTATAGAGCTAAACTTTCTCTTTATTTTAGTAAATCTATAATTAATTCAACATGTAAACTAGTAGTAGCATATTTTATGTTAAAGTGAAAATGTACTATGGTAAAAAGTAAAATGTTATCAGGAGAGAGAGAACGTTTAAGTGGTTAGCAACAGTGTTCTAGCCGATGGCCCGCTCCATGAGGCCACCACAGCTCAGCAGAACATCATTGTAGCTTCTTCTGGGGAGAAAAACACGTAGATAAAAAATAGAATTAACAGCTGGTATAGCAGGAAATAGTGGAATTAGAGAGTAGTGGTAGTGGTTGAAGAAAGGAAAATGTGGAAAGTGGCCAGTGTGTCCTCCTGCAGTCTAAGCTTATAGCAGCATAACTACAGAGATAACTCAGGATAACCTATCCTTTACATGCATCTGAGTCAAATGTTGTTTTAATGTCTAATGAGCTTTGAAACAAAAGCGTCTGGACTTCTTTGAGTTGCTTGAAGACGTTTCACCTCTCATCCGAGAGGCTTCTTCAGTTCTAAGGTCAAATGGTGGAGAGTCCCATATTTAAACCCAGTGGGCGTTTCCCCCCGAAGAGGGAACAAAAGACCCCCTGATGACCTTCTACATAAACACATTGAGGGTGGGTGTGGGTCCTATTCAGCCAGAGTTTCGGGTGAGCTCATTGTGAAACCTGGCCCCACCCTATCATGTGAATTCCTGAGGTCAGATGGCCCAAGATATGCGTGGGTGTTGAGGCATCTGGGAAGGGATCTCAAAACTGGATTATAGATGGCAGACAGTTGGTGTCGTAGACCACCGCCTCTGTTCAAAGATGGTTGCTCACAGTGGACATAAATGGCTTCCTTTACTCCTCTTTCAAACCATCTGTCCTCTCTGTACAACATGTGAACGTTGGCATCCTCGAAAGAGTGACCTTTGTCCTTTAGATGCAAATGAACTGCTGAGTCCTGTCCTGTGGAGGTGGCTCTTCTATGTTGTGCCATGCGCTTGTGAAGTGGCTGTTTGGTTTCTCCGATGTAGAGGTCTGGGCATTCCTCGCTGCACTGTACAGCACACACCACATTGTCCAGTTTGTGCCGGAAGGGAAAAAGAAGGAACACACACATATAAAAGAATCACTTAAAACATGTGGCTATCCTAATTGGGCGTTTATAAAGTCAGCAAAGATGCACAGAAAAGAAGACCAGACACCAGCGAGGGAGGAAAAGAAAGACAGACGCAACAACCTGGTCATCCCCTATGTAGCCGGTGTATCAGAGAAACTCAGGAGGGTTTAAGTGATTCTTTTATATGTGTGTGTTCCTTCTTCTGGATTTATCAGACCTGAAAATGGAAACCAGGAACGTTGTAGGTTGTAGACTGGTGCAGCCTTGCGAGGGTTCGGCGCAGGTGGGTGCTCCGGAGGGTGCCTGCTGTAGTGCAGTAGTGTCAGCGACTTCATCAGCCTGTCCTTTGGCAGGTGGTGTCCCCACCGCAGGGTGCGGAGTCTCAGGTGGTGTGTCACTGCAACCGCCAACTCCCAATAGGGTAGGTGTTTCCCCACCACCGTATGGAGTGGTGATGCAGATACGACGCAGACTGTCTGGATGTCACCTACCTTACTGGTACTGGATTGACCGACCAGGTTCAAATCAAATCAAATCACTTTTATTGTCACGTCACATGTGCAGGTACACTGGTACAGTACATGCGAGTGAAATTCTTGTGTGCAAGCTTCACAGCAACAGAGTTGTAAAAATACAGTAATGTAAAAACATGTAAAATATAAAAGTGGCTAATCTAAATATACAAATGAATAAAGTAAACAGTAAGATAAGAGATATAATATATACAGAGGTTGGTATGTGCAAAACAGTGGCATTAATGTACAGTATGGAGCGTGTAATGTTGGAGTTTCAGTAGTGAGGGTGAGGTGTCTGCGCCGTGTTCAGCAGTCTGATGGCCTGATGGAAAAAGCTGTCTCTCAGTCTGCTGGTTCTGGACCGGATGCTGCAGAACCTCCTTCCTGATGGAAGTAGTCTGAACAGTTTATGGCTGGGGTGACTTGAGTCCTTGATGATCCTCCCCGCTTTCCTCAGGCACCGCTTCCTGTAGATGTCCTGGAGGGAGGGAAGCTCACCTCCAATAATCCTTTCTGCACACCGCACTACTCTCTGGAGAGCTCTGCGGTTGCAAGCGGTGCTGTTGCCATACCAGGCGGAGATGCATCCAGTGAGGATGCTCTCAATGGCACAGCGATAGAAGGTCCTGAGGATGCGGTGGCTCATGCCAAATCTTTTCAGTCTCCTGAGAAAGAAGAGGCGCTGCTGTGCCTTCTTCACTGTATTTTCCGTGTGCACTGACCACGTAAGATCCTCAGCCAGATGAACTCCAAGGAAACGGAAGCTGCTCACCCTCTCCACAGCGTCGCTGTTGATGGTGATGGGGGTGTGTATTCCTCTGCACCTCCGGAAGTCCACTATCATCTCCTTTGTCTTTGTGACGTTGAGGGTGAGACGGTTGTCCTGACACCAGTGGGTCAGGGCGCTGATCTCCTCCCTGTAGGCCGTCTCATCGTCGTTGGTGATGAGACCTACCACTGTGGTGTCGTCCGCATACTTCACAATGATGTTGGAGTTTCTCGTGGCCGTGCAGTCGTAGGTGTAGAGTGAGTACAGGAGAGGGCTCAGCACACACCCCTGCGGTGCACCAGTGTTCAGTGTGATGGGGGATGAGGTGGTGCTGCCCAGTCTGACCACCTGGCGTCTGTCAGACAGAAAGTTCAGGATCCAGCTGCAGAGGGAGCTGCTCAGTCCTAGATCCTGCAGTTTCCTGTCCAGCTTCGAGGGAACGATGGTGTTGAATGCTGAGCTGTAATCTACAAACAGCATTCTCACATACGTGTCTCTCTTCTCCAGGTGTGACAGGGCAGCATGGAGTGTCAGGGCTATGGCATCATCAGTGGACCTGTTGTGGCGGTATGCAAACTGTAGACGGTCCAGTGAATCGGGCAGAGCAGAGCAGATGAAGTCCCTGACCAACTTCTCGAAGCATTTGCTCACGATGGGGGTCAGGGCTACAGGTCGCCAGTCATTCAATGTGGAGATGGTGGATGATTTGGGTACAGGGACAACGGTGGCCATTTTGAAGCAGGCTGGGACTACAGCCAGAGAGAGGGAAAGGTTGAAGATGTGTGTAAACACTCCAGCCAGCTGACCCGCGCATGACCTGAGGATGCGGCCGGGAATCCCGTCCGGACCAGTAGCTTTGCGTGCGTTCACCCTCCCGAAGCACCTCCGCACATCCTCCTCAGACACAGTGAGCGCGCTGACGTCATCCGCGGTGCGCTCACTGTCCGGTCTCATGGAGTTCGCTGTGTTGAATCTGGCATAGAAGGCGTTTAGATCCTCACACAGAGAGGCCGTGGTCTGCGGTGTGCTGGTTCTCCCTCTAAAGTCTGTGATTGTGTTTAGTCCCTGCCACATACTCCGGGGGTTGTCAAACTGTTGCTCCACCCTGTCTCTGTACTCACGTTTGGCTGCTTTGATCGTCTTCCGGAGTTGATAATGTGCGTGTTTGTAGTCTGATGTGTTCGCGGAGGCAAAGGCGGTGCTCCGCGCCTCCAGCGCCGTTCGCACACCTCCATTAATCCAGGGTTTTTGATTCGGGAAGGATTTAACTGTTCTGGATGGGACAACATCTTCCACGCATTTCCTGATAAATCCGCAGACTGAGTCTGTGTACTCACCAATGTCTGTAGCAGCCGCGTGAACCATTTCCCAGTCCGTACGATCAAAACAATCCTGCAGCGCAGACTCCGATTGGTCCGACCAACGATGCACCGCCCTCAGGGTTGGAGCTTCCCGTTTCAGCTTCTGCCTGTAGGCAGGTATTAGCAGGATGGAGCGGTGATCTGACTGGCCAAATGGGGCGCGTGGGAGGGCTTTGTACGCTTCTCGGAAAGAGGTGTAGCAGTGGTCGAGTAGCCGGTCTCCACGTGTATTGAAATGGATGTGTTGGTGTAGTTTTGGTGAGACTTTCTTCAGGTTACCCTTATTAAGGTCCCCGATCGTAATAAACGCCGCCTCTGGGTGTGCGGTTTCCTCATTGCTGATCGCGCTGTACAGTTCTCTGAGTGCTCGGTCAGTGTCGGCTTGTGGGGGAATGTAAACAGCTGTCATAACCACCGCTGTGAATTCTCTCGGTAGCCAGAATGGCCGGCACTTAATCATCAGGTTGGCGGCGCCGTTGTGGTTAACACCGCCTGAAAAGGTGATGAGGTGCTCAAGGGACACCAAGGGCATCGGTTAAGTCACACGAGTCTGGAGTGTCCAATCACGGAGTGAAATGACAGCTTTTATGCGTTGGAGCAGGTCCCCTCCCAACACGAAAGGAAACGCTTCAACGTTGGTCACAAACACTGGATGGCTCACGAACATGTCTCCCACTGTGAAGTTGATGGACACCACGTTTGACAAGGGCATTTGGCCTGAAGAGTACGGATGGATGTCC